ATAACAAATTAATTATAAAATCCATTGTAATTCTATCGTAAATGATCTTATACGAGATTGTTAAAAGAGATATACTCTGTAATTTTAATAATTACTATTTTTTATAATTATTATTTTAATTACTGTTAATGCTGTGGAAGAATTATTTAACAATTTACGGAATATTTTATAATTTTCCAAGTTTCTAAATTTAAGTTTACAAATTCAGTTTTATTAATAGTGATTTTGTGACAAATAAAGTAGCGATTGTGTAAAGCTGGAACCTCTTATCAATAAGATAAAACTCATTCTGACATTACTGTGCAGTCGCAATACTCAGTCTCCGATCACGGTAATGTTTATCGTAGACACGTGCTACGATAATATTTCCATCGCGTTATCACGTATTCCACTCGCGAGATACACGATCGAGGGGCCGATGTGCACACGTGTATTTGTCACTTGTCGCACGTGTTGAGCGACAATCACGAGATGAGAGCCTAACTTACACTAGGGGCTCGAGATTAATCACAAGTTTGGAAACGACAAATCTTTGTATTACGTTGCTCAAGTAGAGCAGATAGAATATCTGATAATATTGTAATTACCATGTTGGTATCAAACTCGTATAATACCTATCGGGTAAAACTGTTTGCACGGGATTTTGTCGTTCGCAAAATCCACCGCTCGTTGCACAATCTGAAGAAAACATGCGTCAATCGCGACATTTTGCAAGAAATGTTAGCTTTCAACTGAAATTTAAAAAATTTGTTAAACAAATGTCTAAAGTTGAAACGCAGTTTTGCGTGTTTTCTTTCGCAATTTTTTATTATTCACTTATTATCTTTTTTATTGTTCACTTATTATCTTTTATTATCTCTTTTGACACACGCGAAGATTTTACGTAACACCATTAGTTCTAAGTGACGATATAATATGGTCTTTAAAACGGTCGTTTTTTTATATTACACGAGATATAATGGTTCTTTAAACTTGCGGTTTAGAAAAGATTTTCCGTGATTTTTCTCAATACACGCGACAAAACAGTAACGCGCTGCACATCTTTTGGCGCAACTGTCTTAAATCTACGAATACGTGCACCAGCACAAACCGCGAGTTTATCTGATATTAGAATTAACTCTCGCGATTATATACGAATTTGCGCATTAATATAACAAGTTGTTTTTTGGTCATCAGTTGCATAAATTTTCATCGCAGCAAGTTGTACGAATTATATAAATAAAGTCAACTAGGATTTAACGATAATTTTTACAATAGATCTGTTTACAATTCATTTATTATACTTTTGTAATAAACTCTTTAAATTAGAGAAAATTTGTTTTACAAAATAAAATATTTATTATCAACATATATACATTTTTTAAAAATAATATTTATATTTTTTAATGGAAAAGAAATTTATCACTTTTCTTTCTTAGTAGACAAAATACAAAGCACGAGTTAAATCAAAATGTTATGTAAATAATAACTGAATACTATTTCAAATGTAAAAAAGCTAAGATATATTACGCACACAAACGACATGTAGTTTGCTACGTCAAAACAAAAAAAAACACTCTAATATAAAACAGAAAAGAAGACAGTGACTTTCTTTTTATTAACGTCCGTCTCGAGGCATAGAAAAAAAAAAAAAATTTCCCTGAACGAGGTTCCGGGCGCATGAATTAAGCAGTCCACGAATCACGAACGTAAGATGAAATGACACAGAGCCAGTCAATTACGGTTAGATTAGTAATACACGAGGGGGATTCCTCCCCTCTCTTTTTCCGCGCGGTACCCAGTGTCCCTTGCACGCTTCGCCACCTCGTGCACGCATAATCCGCTACGGCCTTTGAAACGCTATATAAAGTGACAAAGCTGGCTCGCTGCTGACGGGCTTGCTCTGGCATCTCTCGCTCCGGCTTTAAACTCGCGCTTTCCGGCCGCGTCGCGCAATTCGAAAAGAAATCTCAGTTGTCTACGTTATTGTCATTTGTCGTATCGGTGGCCGATCGACTGGAGAAGCGTTAACGCGATTACGCGGCTCAATTTAAAGAACGCCATCTGTTTTTCATTCCGAATTAATTTTATTCCGAGAATGTCGCACTTTAAGACGCGTTGCGCTCAGACACCGTTCAATTGACAGCAATTCGACAGACACACACCGATCAAGTTGACACCACGTCACGGTGCTTTTCACGTCCCTTCTTACTTAACACCTCAGGTAGGTATAACTTTTGTTATACAGTTTGCTACACCTATTTGTTGCAAGTAAGATTAAACTTGTCTTGCACTTCGGGGTGTGCGAAGACGAAACACGTGCGAACAATCAGTTTGCGGATGCTGAAGACGCGCTCGGTTAGAAATTGGGTCAACCAGCGACCCCGTTCGTATGTACACGCTAATATCGTGTAGTAGACGCGTATTGCATATATATTCCTAGTGTGCGTTCAAAACAAACTTCTGCATTGTGATATTATAAGATATATTTCTCTCAAGTGACACAAATGCGTTAAGAGTTATCGATATTATAACTAAAAGAGCACACACACACACACACACGTAATAAAAAATATAGTACTCGAAATTATAATTATGTGGATGTATACGTGTGTCTTTAAATCGATGCATTGGGTTAAGTATATTGCACTTATAAAGAACAACTTCTAAAAAATCTAAACGTCATTTGAAAGAAAAATTCAAAGTATTAATTAAAAAACGATTATAATCGTAATTTTATTACGATAATAAAAAAAAGTTATGTATAAAATAAACGAGTATTTAATATAAATTTAATGTTATGTGCGTGCAGAGAGTGTAATTTTACGCTCTTACACGCGCTTATAACGTTCGACTTGTACAACACTCTGTAAACTCGCTTTGAGTTTCAATAACAAGCGCACACCTTGTTCTTTTTGAATCGTCGCTTATTACAAGATAATTACACGCAACAAGAAATTATCGTATAATTACATTAAATTGTACACTGTCGTAACCAACCAATTTTCGAATATCAAAGCACATCAATGAGAACACTTTGCAAACAAGTTACGGAGTTACGTACGAAACAGTTGTTGATTTTTCTTCAAGAAGGAAAAACAGAAAATATTTATACACCCGCGCTATATTAACAATCGTATTTATTTTATGCAAATAAACGTAAACGTGGCGACAGATGTCGTCTGTGCAAAACAAGATTTCCTGACGTCAGTAGGAAGCGCATTTTGTGTGTGTGCTTCGTAATAAATTTTATTATATAATAAATTTTATAATTTTATTAAATTTTATTATAATTTTATTAACTTGACGAATTGATCTCTATAAAACTCCCCTTTGCCACGTATAATAGTCGCTTAAATGCAAAGCTAATGGCGCGTCAGATTAGGAACGGCTGATCGCACTGGTTCGAGCCACGATTTATGTAATATCAATAAATGCGAATAACGGTTAAAGAACAACGAAAATATAAAAGCGAAGCGTGCGATAAAAAATTTGAAAACGACCGTTTCTTTGCAAGAGAGTCTGAAATAAATATGTGACACATGTGTGTTGCACGCAATACGTGAAATACTGCAAAATATGACGTGATTTTACAATCGATATTTCGTGACATTTACGAAACTTTATTGCACATTATCGCAAAAAGTTTTTCCATAAAAACGAAAGTTAATCTTTGAGTTCGCGTTTGATCCTGCACGCGCAGCAGTTGTCGAAGCGCGTCCGAAGGTTAATTTATGTCATGAGTCATCCTCTTTTCACCGATTTTCATATATTTTTCGATTTTATACGCGTTTTTTCTACGTCTATCCTTAAATCTTCAACTTCTTCTGTGTTTCTCATCATTTTCTCTTTTTAATTGCCTGATAGTCTGATTATTTTCATGGTTTAAGGTCAACAGCTATTTGTTTTTCTTATCTATGAATTGTTTTTATCTTATTTTTTTCTTATTTCCTGCCTCGTTTGAGCACAAGTTTCTTGGGAATTTTTTTTATCTTATTTCTTTCTTGTTTCCTGCTTGTTTCTAATCAAAAAAGACATCATAAATCATGAAAATAATCAGACTGCCTGCAACCAAAAAGAAAAAAATGATAGGAAACACAGAAGAAGTTGAAGATTTAAGGATTTCCTTCTGATTAGAAACGAGCAGGAAATAAGAAAATTCTGAAACGCTCTTACGTTCTGTGTTCTACGATCGTCGTCTGAGTACAAGTTTCTTGGGAATTCGGGAGTCTGCGAACACGCACACGCGCGCGTCGCGCTTACGACTATTGAACATGTTGAAGTCACGATTATAATATTTTTAATTCGTCTTGATCCTCGATCGACCCTTGTAAATTCTCGAGTGAGTGCGCTCACGACTATTGAAAATGTTCAAGTCATGATTGTAGTATTTCTGATCCATCTTGATCTCACCGACTCTCTTGTAAGATCTTGAGTGAGTGGTTCAAGATAAAAAGTACTCAAATAGTAGTGAGTAAATAATAGAATCTACCGATAATCGATACTCTGCTACGATACAAAACCGTAGACTTATTTTTAAAACTTCAAAGATATAAAGATACTAAAATACTGTGTAGGCATATACTGTGTTCTCTCGCAAAATATGCGATAAATGATAGTATAAATGTTTCAATCTAAAATAAATGAGAGAAAACAGTTTTTTTTTTTTTTTTTTAACAAAAAGAAGTATAAGACAATCGCGGGATAACGAAATCAGTGAGGAAACGTTAGTCTGCAAGAGATCGTAAAGTTTCCGGGGTGAAAGGGAAGGAGGAAAGGTTGAGATAGGAAACAAAAAGATAATAATTAAAAAAATCAGAGTAGTTCCATTTGCAATCTCGAGATAATCGATCAATACACAGAAATCCTCCGGACGTACATCGGACTTTTTAATCTCTCCCGACTTCATTTAATCAAATTATCTTACACATCTGTTCTCCTCTTAACCGAGTGAATCTCGACTAATCTTACACGTAATAATAGGTTATTTGTTTAATATGTTGCAGGAAAAAATATTTACAATGAAGCGCTGCGTCTTGTTGCTTTGTGTTGCGGCGGTTCTTCAAGATTCTGACGCTTTACGTCAAGGATCTACGGAGTATGAAGGTCTAACAATAATATAATTTGTATTATATAATTTAGTATTAAATTAAATAGTATAATTTTTTTATGTAAACACACTAAAATTGATTAAAATTCCAGTTTGCATAACAGAGATTAATATTTCATGTTTTTATAATTTTTTTACACATTGTACTGTGTCATTTGTTATGATAGTAAAATTTTATCGATTTCTATTTCTGAAGTTCTTCAAATCTCTTAAAGAAAGCAGTTGCTCTCGCTGCTCTCAAATCTCCTCTGAACAAATATGTTTTATCACAGACTGTCAATAAAATATGTGTGTTCTGTCCTTGGTGCAAATATCGATATTTGTCACTTATTGTTGACATCAGATATATAAAATATTTTTTTGTAAAATATTTTTGCAAATCATTTTTCGAGATAACGATTTCTTTGTTATCAATAAAACAAATTATCAAAAAAGTTACCAAAAACAAAAAATCTGAAAACAAAATAATGATAAATGTAACTTTGCTAAATCTGCAAAATTTTTATTTATATCACAATAACGGATTTTGTTAATAAAACAATACGCTAATACAATACTTGAATTTCGTCGCTTCGCGACAATCAGAATGATTTAGATTTCCAAATCTGCTTTATTTATTTCAAATTTATTTTAAATAATGTTATTTATTTATTTGTTGAAAGTTTAACAAACTTCTATACAATGACAATGCTAAAAATAACGTCGTAAATGCTTTCTCATCACAACTTCGATTGAGTAATTTATCTCACATTGAGAAGAAAAACATAGATAATGTAAAGAAAGATAACAAATCATCTGAGACATCATGAGCAAGAGAGTTGAACAATTCAAGAAATTTGCTGGTCTATTTAAAGTGTCTCTCTGACATCTTTACAATTAGTTTTCGAGCTTTGGTGTGTTGTTTAATTACGTCTCAATGTGACGTATACTGTTCCTTGCCAACGAGGCGAAACTCTGATCTCTCATCAGATATGTCCTTCTGGCTGAAGTCTGGACAAGAAACCTTGCACAAGATTCTGGCGCATCAGAACAACGTAAATCGTGCCAAGAACGTGATCATTTTCATCGGCGACGGTATGGGCCTGTCCACTATCACGTCCGGCCGTATCTACGTAGGTCAGCTCAATGGCCAGGCCGGTGAAGAATACCAACTTGCGTTCGAGAAGTTCCCCAACACCGGTCTCGCCAAGGTAGATTACATATAAATTTAAATTTCGATATCGATCGCGTCTGTAATCTCAACGGTGGTCTCGCGCGTGACGATATCGAGAAATCCTGTCACGTTAAGCCGCTTAATTCGCGCGCGCCTTTGATAAGAACGACGCGCGTTTAATACCTTCAACGAGAAAATACAACAAACGCGCGGCGTTCGCACATTTTACAATTAATTCTCTTGTCGATCTTATAATCGCTCGTCAAATACGAGAATTCGTCATCTGTCTCGATTTATCGTACATTTATAACAGTAACGACGTGATTGCAACACTGACTATATTACCGGAAGCACGAGCGTGTACATACGGGGTGTCTCAAAACTATATCAAAAGATACGTGATGATTTATAACAGAGTTTTGTAATTTCTATTGTTTGCGCGCTGTTTGTTTTTTACTTGTAATATTTAAATAAACTATTATAATCTCATTATTTGTTTTTGCTTGGAAATATGTTATCAATATTTTTTTTCCAACAGTTTTGTATAACATGTTATGTACACGTTGATAAAAGACCACACTTCAGAAATTTGATCGCGCGATATTCATTATCGAGGAAATCAAACTTCCGTTGCAAATAAATTTATCAAGATTAAAATATTGAGCACAAATATGATTGGCGAGATATCATTGCGATTATTATTGTATTCTTATTTTCAGACCTACAATGTAGATAAACAAGTGCCCGACTCCGCGGGGACAGCCACCGCTATATTTTCCGGCGTCAAGTGCCGATACAAGGTCATTGGATTAGACGCCAAAGCTGAAACATCAAAGTGTGATAAGAAGATCAATGAAGGTAGCACGCTGACAACAGTGGCCGATTGGGCGCAACAATCCGGCAAAGACACAGGTGAAAACTTCGATTTGTCTTCGAGTGTTTATTTGACAAATAACTTATAGTTATGTGTCTTTTTTAAACGGCGACATTACACCTTGACATATATATTATATACACTTCCGATTTGAATATCTCGTAATTTCTTACTCGAAAGACACAGAAAACCGATTCTGATGAGACAAATTAGGTTTCAAGACTATTTCACGCATCGTCGATTGTTATCGGTCGATTAGATAAAACGATTACGAGAAGCTTTTACAGGGTGAGGCGAAGCGAAATGGTCAATTACACAAATGTTTTCCTGTTCTAAATTCCGTTTTTCTAATTATCTAAATTCCGAAAAACACTCAAATTGTGACAATGCGACAATTAAAAATAGAGAAAACTTGATATTTTTAAACACACAGCTAAAAAAATGTTAAAAGGACATTGTTTTAGAAGTGTGTGTGTGTAAATATATCCGCGCTCTCTCTCTCTCTCACGTGATAAAACGCGAGTTATCAACCCCGTAGGTAGAGAACGCGTGTCACGCACGATCGGCTATTTCATTAACGTAAAGTGTTGGTACCGGAGCGGACCTTGTTGAAGTTTATATACAGTGAAAGTCTGTTCAATAAACGCGCGAGGAGGTCATGAGCCGACCTTCCACCTTGTCGAGGACAATCCAGTCAGACGTGACTGATTTCTACTGAAAAAAAAAAATAACAGAAGCTTTTTACACGACATGTTCTGACTTGTCGATTAGTATTTTACACATTCGTTTCCTAGTGCACCTTGGCCGAGCGCCAAGGTGCTCATTTCACGCGGACGACTTAGCACAAGAACACCTTTTATTTATAAACGCGCAATGAATCATAACGTGATATGATATTTTATGAATTTAATATTTTATTTTGCATTCTATTTTACGCAAAACACATTATACGTGTGTGTGTGTGTGTAAAAAGCTTCAAAAATGATTGTTTACAAAAACGGTTTAACGTGCGGTTATTAAAATTTGAATTTTTATTTATTGCGCTTTTTTTATATTCTGACTAACAACAGCTCGACATTTCGCGCATAATTTTGTGCGTCTGATCGACAGGATTTGTCACTACCACACGTGTCACTCACGCTACTCCCGCGGCACTTTATGCGCACGTCAACCATCGGGATTGGGAATGCGATTCTAAGATACCAAAAGATCAGAAAAATTGCACTAAGGATATCGCAAGGCAACTCATAGAGGATAAACCGGGAAATCAGTTTAAGGTAGCTGATCGTATTATTATATATTACACGGAATAATTTCAAGATACGTAAAATTTTACAAGTGCAGAATAAGAGTTGTCGCGAACACAAAACTATAATTTTCTACTTGAAAATTAATTATTAATTATATATATATATTATTACACTAATTAATAAATTACGTTATTTATACTAAACTGCCTCCAACTGCAGTCAAAAATTAATTTTTATTAGTTTTTGGCCGTTATTTGAATTAAAATTAATTATATTTGCAATGAAAAAAAAAACATCCGGTAATATGTCGTTTCGTTCGATATTATTTGAAGACATGAAATATATTTTATCGATATCTATTGGAAAGGTTATCATGGGCGGTGGCGCGCAATGTTTGGGCGCGCAAGTGAATCCAGTCGACGCCGAGGTTTGTTCGCGAGAAGACGGCAGAAATTTGGTGGAAGAATGGCAAGCGAGTCATCCCGAAGGAATAGCCGTCACCAACTTGCAGGATCTCATGTCCATCGACATCGGCAACACGTCGCAGATTTTCGGTGTTTTCTCGCCCGATCACTTGCCCTATCACGCTGTTAAGACTCCCGAAATACCCTCACTCATGAATATGACAACGCAAGCGATAAGACTGCTGAAGAAGAACAAAAACGGATTCCTGCTGATGGTTAGTAGTCACGTGATCGAATGAAACGATTATGCGAATATTTATTTCGTCGCGGATGCAAATCGGATATTTAGAATCAAACGTGATAAGTTTCTAATTCAAACACTTAGTTGCTAATCGTTATTTCGTGAAAAAAAAAACGGTAGAGCAGAGGAAAGGATTTGAACGCCGTATAGAAGTTTATTATTAAAGATAATAATGATGCGCGTAAAGTAGGTAAAACGTTAAAGTAGGTAAATCGAGACTACATGTTGAAGGGAATCCTGCCGGCAGTGTTACTCGACTCTAATGCAATTTCCATGCAAATTGCGCGATTTTCGAGTAACGCGATACGCGACACGTATTCTTGGAATTTCATCTTTTCAAATGTCTGTCAAGGTTGCGCGCCACTTAAACGCATGATTCCGCGCATAATTCGGAAACGTTGTATGCAAATTTTTGAGTGAACCAGAGACTAGACGTGAAAAAAAAAAAAAATCGTCGAATCTCGGAGAGCACGGAAGAAACCTGACAATCCGAAGATTGCAGATATGCGATGACACGTGCTTTTTAATCTGTTCAGGTTGAAAGTGGCAAAATTGACTTGGCCCATCACGGCAATTGGGCGAAACTGGCTCTTCGCGAATTGTACGAGCTCGAACAGGCGGTCAAAGCGGCTCTTCGACTGGTGAATTTGGAAGAGACGTTAATTATCGTAACGGCTGATCACTCGCACTCGTTCACGTTGAACGGATATCCAACGAGAGGCAACGACATTCTCGGCTTCGCCAACAAGGATAACAAAAAGTTCTACGAAACGCTCACCTACGCCAACGGGCCCGGATTTTTCTATCATCGAAAAAATGACAGCGCGAACGTTAACGAGACCTGGAGAAAAGTCGAGGAAGATCAGACTCGTGACGAACCTTTCTACAGAAATTTTGCCGGTATCTACCTCAAAGATGAGACTCACGGTGGAGAAGACGTCGGGGTTTATGCTATCGGTAAGATAAGCGATAAGTCTTTGACTAAAATAAATCATTGATTGCTTGATTTCGCAAATAATAAAGATTTTAGTGAAATAATTACAAATTGATGATTTTGTTCACAGGGCCCTATGCGCATTTGTTCCGAGGTACTTTTGAACAGAATTACATCGCTCACGCCGTGGCGTATGCGGCATGTTTCAAAGACTGGCCGTCCCACTGTGACAAGTCTTATCATCGTTACTTTTACAGCGTTAACGCGCCGGGAAACTACAAAGTTAGTTCCGCGGTACAAAATACCGCATCGTTCGCGACTTTCACGGTCTTCATATTGGCAATGATGTTCACACGGCTCTGATAAACGACGTATCTTTTTTCACAGCCAAACGAACGAATGATATTAAACGTCGGAAAACAACAATTTATTTAATAAATTGACTACAAGTACAAATAGATTTTACCAAATAGACATTTTTGTCTTCTTTTCGCTTTGTACATATTTTCCGAAACGGATTTGTTTCCATTACAGGGAATCCAACAATATGACGCGATGTATTTTCTTTTTACTCCGTACGTATAGAGAAATTTCTTTAGATTTAACAAATATAATTTGTTTAATTCATTATTCCACATTGAAACAGTCCAATTATCTGATCTTCGAATCAAACAATACGTCAGTTGTGATCGAATATTGTATACGATTTTTTTGTTTATTCAATTACCACGAGCTCTTTTGTTTTATAGAAATAATATATTATACTTAATGTCTTTATAAATTATTCCTCACACACTTGAATAACACACAGGATGGCGTTGCATCATGTAAAAACTACATACACGCGTGTATAATTTTGCATAATGCAACACTCGGAGAACTCAACAAACACAATTATGACTAAAATAATATTTCTCGCATAAGTTCTTTGTACACGTGAATAACAAGATGATCTTTTTTTTTTCTTTTATTACTGTGACAACAATGATGTATATTTTCAAAACATGCAGAAACTTGAAAGACATTTGCCGTAAACACACATTTTATTAAAATAGTATTACTAATAGAATTTACCAGCTGTGTACATATTTCTACAACACACGTCATTATTTCTTGAAAATAAATATTTGCAATACTGCCGTTAAATTACGACGGAATTAAACATTCCGCGTATGTACGTTTTTCCAGAGTTTCACAAAACAGTTGAGAATACAAAAATGTAATATTCGAAAATTTAAGAAACCTAAATGCAGTATTTCTCGGATAAAAGTTCTCGGAGCGAGGCAATTAACAGAGAGAGGTCAGATAGTGTACATACTTTTCTGGAAAATAGGCCATAAATTTACTTGACCGCTCGGAACGAACGAACACGAAAAAGACGAACGCGAGCGTGACAAAACAAACGACTTGTACGTGGCTTTTTTTTGTAGTAGAGAAGAGGAATATAGACGGGACCGCTATCCGGAAAATACTCCGAAAGAAATAGTTTTATGTACTTTGATATGTTACTTACACAAACATAAATCTGTGTATATATTTATATATACCTTAGCACATTATATTATACACAAAGTACAATATAATTTTATTAAAAAATGACACGAAACATACTTTTGGTCCGAATGCTTTAATCGTGCGTTCTTATATATATAATTTATAACATAATTGTAATTAAAACAAAAGTTCCTCGTTATATATGTCACATTTTCATAAACTTCATGTCATTGCGTAGACACATATAAATTATGTAAATATTTTAATGCGAATAAATTACTTATGTTATTGATGTTACGTCACAATCTCTTTAATATAAAAAAAAAAAAAACAAATAAAATAGAAACTACAAACAAATTTATGTCACGTAGATTCTAAAGCAGCACTCTTTACTTTTATACAGTCTTTTTTCCATTTTTTTTTTTGCAAATAGTTGGATTACATAAAAAAGCAAGTCTTTGTTTAAAATTATGAGTAAAATGCGAATTACGGTAGTTATCGCGTAGAATCGATTTCTTGCCAACTCTTTCAAATTTGAACCACGTATTAAGCTTAAAAGGCTTTGCAAGCGTTCGTGAAGTTTCTAAATGTTTGACCGTTCCCCAAAGTTGAGACAATTGCAATTATAAATGACACTTTTTACATGTGTTATATGCGTAAACCCATTCAAAAAGGCACATTTTAAACTCTAGCTGTCAAACTACATTTGCGACATTGATAAAAAAAAAACTAGAATGCGGTAGATTAGATTATAAGAATATTATAAAAAAAAGTTTTAGAATTATTGGCCGTCTAGTTGTCGAAATAAAGTCGCGGAAAGATGATAATATTTCTCGATACACACACAAGGCATAGTTAGGCGAGTAGCAGCGGCAACAATGTCGCCTCTCGCACAAGGTACTTAGATCTTGACACACCGTGTTTTTCTTGCCTCTGTCATACTCAAAATTGTGTTTAAGCGTTTTTTTTTTAGTATTTGTATTAAAATAGAGAAGTCATTTTAGTAGTTTCGTTTGACAGCTAAGCAAACCGACAGATTTGATTAAACGCGCGCGAAACGTTTTCAGAACTGAATTGATTACTAAATCTTACTAAATCGTTACTAAAAGTTTACCGCGTTAGCAACAAGAAATAAAATTAATAAAGAAACTTAAGGTTCTCTTGAAGCAACAACTAAGAAATGAATAAAAATAAGATTACACGAGCCGCTTTGCAGGATGTTATGCTGAAATGTTCTATTATATATATGTATACATATATATATGTTCACATGTAAATTTTTTCACGTGTTTTTTGAATTGAAATTTCAATTCTTAAAATCATACAGTATGCTATACTTGCATCTCATGTACGAGTGTTGCGAAGAATGTCTCCAAGTGCCTCGGTAGCCTAACAGGGAAGGCGACGGCCCGGAAAGCCGGAGATTCCAGGTTCGACTCCTGGCTGAGAAGTATTTTTTCGCAATATTTTAAAATTAGTTCGGGAGGTATTCTCGGGGTCTTTCATACATGAGATGCAAGTATAGCATACTTGTATGATTTTAAGAATTGAAATTTCAATTCAAAAAACACGTGTAAAAATTTACATGTGAACATATATATAATAGAACATTTCAGCATAACATTCCTGCAAAGCGGCGGCTCGTAAAAAATAAAATTGTTTAAAAAAATTTTGAGCATAATATATAAAAAACTACTTTTTTATTTATTTATACACTAATGACATGTTGATAAAATAGAATCTGAAATATTCGTGCGACATTTGAATCAAATTCTGAGAATAATTTTTCTGTAGCGCAAAATCAAACTTTTGAATGAAGAATTGTCGCGCGATAACTACCTTAATTAATTAATTTTATAAATTTACGAATTTCCTCTTACGATAGCGAGATAGTAATTTTTATAGATAAGCGGCGCTGTGTCGTCGCTGACAAAGTTTCTGTCAGGTTTGATCGATGCGAACGGATTTATTTGTGGTTCCAATATTGTTTCCACGTCAGCGATCGATTTTATTCTTATCATTTCCCGAGGAATTTCGTGTTTCGTGTAAGACGTCACGCAAACGGGAGCTCTGGTTTTGCAGAATTCTCTTATTGTTTCCGGCCACGTGTCTCTGCCTTCGAAACCGGTAACTCGATAAAGACCCGGATTGAAGAGACACGCGAGATGTGGTTTTACAAATTGTTTTGAACGACAAAATTCGTGATAGAACTGCGCAGGATGAAAGGAAACGTTCACGCGCCGATCTGATGATTTGCAAGCAGAACAGAGCTTTACGGCAGTTAGTAAATCTAACGGAACTCCCGGTGGCAATCTCAATTCCGGACCAACAAACATTAATCTGAGATGTTTCAAACTTGGAAGAAGATGCAAGAAGAGTTTCTCCCACACGTGCAGATTTATGCACTCGAATTGAAACTCGGCACCTATTATATGGATCACGAAAGTATTTATAGATTCCCAACACTGGCAAGAAATTTGCATTGAGTATAGAGTTGTTAATGGAATGGTCAATATATGAGAAAGACAGCAATAGGTGTAACAATCCATGTTGCGGTAATATGGCGAGCGACCGTAGAGTCGCATCATTAACGCGTCAAAATCGTTCGTCAGATGAAGCGGCTGCGTTTGAAAACTGTCCGGCATGTCGGGATCCACGTTGCCGTTTTTGTGCTGCATGAAGAGCACTCTGCGAAACACCTGATATTCTCGACATCTCGACTCTTCGTGTTCGTTATCGTTGTGATTTTCGCAGAACAACTCGATTCCGCAGGTGGCGCAGGATTTTAGAATTTTCCCGAAGTTACGACAGCTGCAACAAACGCGAGGATAAAGAAGAATTTCTTTTTCCCAGAGTTCGAGACATCTGCCCAGGCGACATTCCACGATCTCGATCAGTTTCAGACGGTAAACGCGATAATCGTCCGGGGTAAGTTCCGGAAGCAGCGACAAGCCTCCCCCGGTCGTGCAGACTTCCGTCAGAATTTTGCACAAGTCTCGATGCTTCGGCCAGTCTTGCTTCCTGTGTTTGTCGCTGCAGTAAGAAACCACGCCGCAAGATTCGCAAGTCTCCTCCGATCGTTCCATGCATATTAGACACAAGTTCGACACGAAGACGAAACGCGGCCAAAACTTCAATTCGACGGTGTCCTCCTCGTCTTCGTCGCTGTCGTTCGACAGTCGATGCCGCATCGATTGCACGAGTGGTAATTCCAAGCGTGAGTAAACGTCGATCGCGACTTCAAGAATGGACAAACTCTCTTCTTTTTGTTCTGTTATCTCTTTTTTCTCAGAGTTCGAATTTTCTGATATCTTACTTTCGTTCGGTTTTTGAATAACGCTTGGAATCTTTTTTGAATTCTTTTTTCTGCGACCCATTATTAAAAAACTGAAATAAAAATTAAAATGAGAGAGAGAGAGAGTGAGAGAGAGCGTGTAAATAAACATTTAAGTTTGGAATAAATTTTCGTCTATTTATATTACGAGTGATTGTAAATTACATAATGTATCGACGCACGAGCAAGTATGAGTGCTTCTAGTGCGAACACAATTGCTTACATAACTGCATTACGCTAAAGAATACATATAAGAAAAAAAAGACAATTCCCAATTTATAACACCGTATTTAATCATTTTTCTCTTATATTATATATTTATTTCAATTTTAACATCACTCGTTATATATTAATATACAAAAATTAATAATAAAATTAACAAAATAAGTGATACAATAAAATATATAATAAAATAAAAATAAGTAATATATACTTATATACAATCAATAAAATTTTAATTAAATACAAAACGGAAAAATATGCATGTACTTACTTATTTATTATTCAAAAGCGTGTGATATCGCTGGATTTTAAATTAATAGATTTTCACACACACATACACTCCGCAAAATAACATTAACACCGCGATGGCACTGTTTCTTTGTGCAAATTTTATTGTGAAATTCTCGCGGTGCGAAAGAACAAATTGATGTTGCGGGTGTGATTTTGACACCGCGATACAAAAGATCGTCTTTGGACGTCTCGATCGCTCAGGGTACCTCGAGGTATTATCAAGGTGTGAGTACGTCGATGGGCAGTATGCCTAGATGCCCAGACATAAAGTATTTCAAGACCCGCGCACTGGCAGCAGGAAGTATAGTCGAAGAGGAATAGTCAAACTCGAGTGACGCGTTCGAAAGAGTTGTATATTTTGGAAACTTAATAATTTGTCACTCGAGTAAAAAAGTGCTAAAAGATAAAAAGTGGTGCAAATTTTCTCTGACATCTGAATTCGTAAGCATAATACATGTTAGCATTTGTACAAGTTGACATGAGTGCCAGAAAGAACGTGTGCAAACGTACGCGTAGAAGCATGATGCCCTACGTCTGTAGTCTATTATTATCGCTCAAATAATACTGTACGCTGTGAGTGAGATACTGTTCGATTCAAACTTATCCTTTTACCGTGCGTATATTAATGAGATATTTTACGACTATCATATGATTTTTATAATACATAAACAATTTCTCTGAGATAAACTTACACACAATTTTATCAGTTTTGTTAAAAAAAAAACAAAAAAAAACACATCTTGCTTTCTCTTACTCACAACTTGATATGTGAGAATTATTGCGCGCTGGGTGTTTTTTTTGATAAAATTTCAAAGTAACAATAAAATAACAACGCAATCAAATACACATAGACTCACCGAACGTAGTAACAGCTAACAGCAGACGCAAAGCAGCTTAGCAATAAGAAATTGAGACTTTTTCTCGCTTCTTGTGTATCTGAAAATATATTTTACATTGATTTTAAATAATTTATTAATTTTTTTCTCACTTATAATACTACGCAATACATAAGTGTCAAGAAATTATGTGGAAAATAAATCTATGTGTGTGCGTACATGTGTATTTTAAATGTTATTTCACATTTCTAAAATGTGAAATAATTATTTATGTTAAATAACTAAATAATTATTTTTCTCTTTCTTCTTGAGCCGCAAAACGGCTCAAACAACCCGAATTTAATTCATTCATTAGTTTAAAGACTTCCGAGCCTCGAAGAATCTTATTCTTCTTCATTATTAATTTAATTATTTTTTTCTATTTATTTTATTTCCCACATACAAATAATCTTCGTGTCTAACACAGAGATATATTCTGTTCCACATAAATGTTGCGTACATCGCGTTATACGAGGCTCGCGTATTGAAAAAAACGAGGTTAGGTCCATTCTATCATTTTTGTAAACCGCGTTCGTGTCGAAACCTCGTTGTTCGAGTCACGTATCGCTTTATACAAAGGTTATCTGTACTTAGAGATAACATTCCTCAAATGCGATTGGAAGAATTTTTGATTTAATACGCGTTTTATCTTGTAACAAATAAATTCATGATTCCTTCGATTATCCGCATTATTCCATTCGATTTCATCTCGCCAATTTATCACACCCTGCCCATTCGCCGAAAAACACTCACCTTTGAACAATTCGACGCTGATTTCGTCACAAAAATCCGAAACAAATGTATCGTTCTTATCCGAAAACGCTCGCAATCTGGAAACGCGCATATTCAACGATTTGAATTTGCGTGCAAATGACGTTCAATAATCGCAAGCGAGCACGTCGTTCGATAGTCTCGAACTCTCGCGCGTAAATTGCAATCGATAGTTGTGCCGTATGTGAATACGTGGTTTGTTTGTTAACGTGTTGGGATCACCGTGTATCGGGGCTACGGAGATGTTTCAAAGCATATGTCTTTTGTAAAGAAATTTTTCATTGTTTGGAACATTATATATGTGAAGGTTGTACGTATGATCGGCCGATGGACCAGCACGCGAACGAGTGTCATTCCACATTTGGGGTACGTGGCACATTTCGAGGTTATGACGAGGTCGGATTTGTCAAATTTTGCCGACAACAAGAAATATATCTATTTTTTTCCTGTCAAGGCTTTAAACTACTTTCGTAGCAATTGTTTGAGAATTACGGTGAAAAAAAATTTTCGGCGAATAGTATTTGTATTATATAATTGTCAAGATTTTTTGGTGTAAAGGTTAGACTCTTTTGTAACATTTTGTGACATTTTGTCAGAGAATGTCATATTTAAGACAGATTTAAAACGTATTTAAAACACATTGTATATATGTAGATTTTTTCAAATTTCAAAAACAAATTAGTCAAGTAAAATTATTATACACTATTACCTTTATGTTTTACTATTTTTATATGTTTTTACCTTTGTGTATTACCTATTTACCTATGTTTTGCTATGTACTATTTTTTTGCATTACGTATAAAACTCGAGAAATTATCGATTATAAATAAAATTCTCTGAATAAGTAATCAAAGAAAAAACGATTATTTTATATCTTTGAGTATCTCAACGCATTACTTAAAGTTTGCATATTTCTTTTACACATTTTGATTTTTTGTTTGTTAATATTGACAAATTCTCCAATTATTTGGAAGACAAATTATACAACGCTTGTGACGGTGTTAAGAAAACTCATCACTTGTATAAATCCATTGCGTTATATTCGAAATTGTCACATAACAATAACATTAAATTGATTTGCTATAAATATATGTTGATTTGCGCATACAATAATAAGTACAAAACTTGTCTCTAAATATACATATACACGTAGACTTTGCATAAAAAAAAGACGATAAAAAAAAATTAAGAATCACTGACACTTGCGCGAAATTACCAACAAGTTTAAATTAGCATCCATTCTAAAATGAGACTAAGCAGTAGACGCGACGAAGACCTCTTTTCTCGTTCAGAGCGTCTGCTTGGTTTAGTTGCATACTTAAGCTGTCGACAACAAAACAACGTCGCGGAAATGTTTTTAAATTTCGATAAATACAACGTGTGTACAAAACAATCGTGCTTAGTTTTGTTTTATTAGAAAATGTGTAATAATAATTATTATCTTAATTCTTGTCTGTAAAAAAATTCTTTTACCTTTTACCTATACGCAAATCTCGTCAAATTTGTCTTAGAAATACCTGATTGTCAAAAAATTAACGTGCATTCGTTAAAATATTTTTTTAGAAAGAAATTTATATTCAATCGTATTTATTCTATCATTCTATTGAGAATTATAAGTTATTACTTACGTAGATTTATTAACGTTAAGAAATAAAATATCTCAGAGTGATGTCGAACGTGTAGGTGCGAGCGAGCGAGATTTCGAGCAATCGCTCTCTTTGTTTCCTAAAAACGCAACATGAGAAAACTTTTTCGATCTACGATAGTGAAATTACAGATTTGTATAAACTTGTCTCTTAAAAGTTAACACTTCGATAGTTTAGAAATGACCTAGTAGTTAATTTTTTGGTTAGTTCAAAAAGTGTCTTAAAGAAAAGATAACCACTCAGAAAACTCTGGGGTGTGAACCGATCATCGAGATGACAGAGTTCTCGAAACAAGTCTGAAACAACTGCTGTCGTTCTCACGCTCAGGAAAGAGAGTTTCTCTCTCATTATCATGGATTTGTTTATATCATGATACCGCCTATACATGATCTTAAATTTTCTGTTGCTATTGGACTCCCACATATACAGTTGGAGTAAAAACCTGAATACGGGAAATAGTTTGCTCTGGTAGCCATCTGGTGACAGAAATTTTCTCGTGTGTTTGGACATGGTTAAATTTGAAAAAAATATAGATCCTTTTGGAGATAAAGCACGGCGTACTATTGCGTCTAGTAAGATTAAAAATATCACAAAATGAACGCTCGCATGTAAAAACAAAATTGCAAGTTCGCGCAATAACTAATTATTGCTTATTTTTAAAATATGAAACAAAGTCAAGCCGACGCGTGTGAGCGTCTACAAAGCAAATCATATCCAATGTAATAGTTCTAATAAATTTTTTTGTTTGTTGCAGTGCTCGTCGGTGATCCGCGAAACGAAAGCTAAAGAGGATGAACTATGCAAATTCGCAAAAAGGTTATCGTAGGAAGCACAGTGAAATTCGTCAAAGAAAATTAGGAAAAAGCAGGTCGCCGCTCAGTAAAATGGTCGGATTGGGCAGCGACGAACTGTGTGTTTCGGATATCGCTGACATTATGGAATTGGAAATTAGCTCCGATGATGAAAGCGACGAGAATGAGAGAGGTGATAAGCAGCGGCTGATATCGTCCCCGGTAGACGAAGACATGGTCTACAACGACGGGAAAATAAACAGTCAGAAGAGCAGCGCGGAAATTACGGACGACGAAAGCGTCTGGTCTATATCCATCCAGATGTTCATTCCTTTTCTACTTGCTGGTTTCGGTATGGTCGCCGCCAGTTTGCTACTGGATGTAGTACAGGTATATCAAAGATTTACATTAATGTTTTTAGAGAGAAATAAAAGAATTTATTTAATTAACTAATAATTTGTTGTTTACTGAGTATTGTTTATTTTATTAAGAATTGCTTTATTATATTTCTTATTATTTGATCTTCATCAGGAATTGATTATGTTGATTTTCAGCATTGGCCGGTATACCAAGTGATATCCGAAGTGTACATATTAGTTCCTGCGCTATTGGGCCTAAAGGGAAATTTGGAAATGACGTTGGCCTCTAGATTGTCGACTCAGGCTAATCTAGGTCACATGGATACGAAAAAGCAGCAATGGACGTTGATCGTCGGGAATTTGGCTTTAATCCAATGTCAGGCTATGGTGGTCGGTCTTCTGGCATCTTTAGCCGCCGTGGTGCTCGGTTGGGTTCCGGAGGCTCATTTCGATATACACCACGGTCTTCTATTGTGCGCCAGTGCTTTGATCACCGCTTCTGTAGCTAGTTTTTTGCTAGGACTCGTGATGGTCGCCGTCATATTGCTGTCACGGCAAATGAACATTAATCCCGACAATGTTGCTACTCCTATCGCGGCCTCTTTAGGAGATTTAACTACCTTAGCTCTTTTATCCTGGATTGCTTCTATGTTATACAATGCAATAGGTACAAGCAAATGTCATTTTATATATATATCTCTCTCTTTTGTTTACTCAAATTATAATCTTTCGAATATTAAACATAATTTTTAGATCACGCTCCATGGATAGCTCCAACATTAATAACATTTTGTGCAATTGCAACTCCTGTGTGGGGCTATATAGCAGCTAGAAATCCATTTACTAAAGAAGTATTGGATTACGGCTGGACGCCTGTGATATCCGCGATGTTAATCAGCAGGTAAATTACCTCGTTGCGTATATAATAAAATTTGCGGCTAAATGTACGTCACTTTAACAAATAACGTTAATTCCAGTCTCGGCGGACTGATTTTGGACTATACGATATCGAGTTATAAAGGCATAGCAGTTTTTCAATTAGTAATTAACGGTGTTGGAGGCAACTTGGTCGCCGTTCAGGCCAGTAGAATATCCACGTCTCTACACAAAAACTGTCACACGGGTGTTCAAAATAATCTCAACGTTTGCATTAGCCCGTTTCACGCGTTCTTTGCCAAAGGTGAGATTTATTATGAATTTATTTACACAAAAGACGCGTGTTTCTTTTTAATATAAAAAAAACGTGATCCTTGTCACAGGAGGACACGCGAGGACAGCCAGGGTATTGTTAATGATGGTGATACCAGGACATTTGATTTTTAGTTATACTATTAGTTATCTTCAGGCAGGACACACCTCGTTCACGCCTATCTTTATTACGATATATCTGATCGCCGCGATGCTGCAGGTACACTTGATATAATATGATCGAATCTACTGCTAATATTTTAAAAGAAAAACACGATTACATGCGTTCGATTTCTAGGTAATTTTGTTGTTGTACATTGCGCAAATGATGGTTGTCTGGATGTGGACAAGAGGTATGGATCCGGACAGTTCCGCGATACCATATCTAACAGCGGCTGGCGATCTTATTGGCACCGCACTTCTCGGAATTGCCTTCCACATTCTTTATGCCATAGGCGATGGCGATTCTGACGTAGGAGATTGATTCTTTCAAACGTTTGTATACTTTGTTTCGAATTCTTTATAACATATGTTACATAATTCTGTAATTTAAAATTACAGTTTTTAGATTTTTGTTTTTTCTGTGAGAGAATTAGTAGAAATTTAAGTTTGCCAAATTTATATAAAGAGTTTGTACGGCACCTGACTGTGATTCGAAATTATCCTTACCTGACCTCTCGTAGCATCTTTTATTGCAGTAAGTTTATCTCTCTTGAAACTTTCCGAGGAACACACGTTTTGACTCTTTGACAAGAGTATGTTGAGAGTACAAATTAAATTAAGCGTATATTTATTACAAATTTCGAATCGGACGTTAACAAATCATATATACATAGTATATTTGTCAATGTTAGTTTTGCTTTCAATAACTTCTTCTTACGTGATACGAAAAAACAATTTAACAAACGTTTATTAAACTTGACGAATCTACATCGTGATTTATGCCAGTATATGCCATAAGCTATCTTATATAAATATAAATAATATAATATATTGCTAAATCTTATGCTATGTACTTTGAGATTTTTTTAAACAAAGTATATTTTGCCATGTATATAACAAAATATTTTTTTATACACTTGTAATGTTCAATGATAAATCGTCTTGTATAAATCGAGCAAATAATTTAGTTTGACCAAGATATACGCAGTATGTACACACACACACACACAACACACACATACACAGTAATATTGAGATCTGCGTGTTTTACATTACTTAAATAAAATTATATAAATAAAAACTTTATACTATTTTTTATAGAACAACGTGTGAACAAAAATTTATATATTTTATGTTACATTACAATTAAAGTAACAACAATGAAAAATGATATGAAATAAATTAATAATCTAATTACATATTCAAAGATGGTTTTCGGGTTTGAATCCGAAAATCATCTTCGAATATTAATATAACACACCGCGAAAGCATCAAATATGAATCCACCCCAATTATATGTTTAGATTTTATTATCAAGTTTTCAGGTCGCGCTTTTTAAAATATTCTTTTGTTAAAGAAATAAGTAAAGTTTATTTTAAATTCTTGCAATATTTTATAATATTTAAATGTGTTAACGTAACGAAAAATATATAGAGTTACTATAGTTACAATTTCATATTAAAATGAACATATTACAAAATTAATTTAATTCTTAACAATTAATAATTAACTGAAAATCATCTCGAGTTCTGAAGTTTTTAAACTAATAAATGAACATATAATTGGTCGCAAAAAACCGTTTGCTGGATGTTGTGCGAAAAATGACCAATTATATATTCATTTATTAATTTAATCCTGTTAATTAGACGGGAAAACATGTTAAACACATCATTTTCAAGAATTGTGTACAAACACGTGCGATATCGCGTCGCGTATATCACATTACACTTAAAATAAAAGATTATATACATGTATGTAAATAAGTTTATCCACACACATTCTTGTAGTATTATTAGACGTTCGTAATCTGTTTAAAAAATCTCTGTATATGTACATACTGTATTAAAATAATATAAGATATATATATATAAATAATATTCTCTCACTTGTAGTGAATTGGACAAGCTTAGGTTTGTGTTATTCAAAAAAATATTTCTGCAACGGATTACAGACAACGGACTTTGCTCATGTAATAATATCGAATGTAATGTTCAAACAAAACGATGTTTCTGAAAGTTAATGTGCAAACGATAAGATATGCTGAAATTTTATGTAAATTTTATGTAAAACTCGTACGCGGAAATTACGAAGAAACCCGAGCAAGTAAAGTGGCACTATACAATGAAAATAGAATTTATGTACGAGACCAGAAACTATTTACTTATATATACATACATACATATATATATATGTACACAAGCAATTTGTATATATCATGTATCATACGCAAGTACACATACATGTGTGTATAATAGTTCGAGAGCACAACAATTTGTTACATTTGTACAAAATAAAGTTTTTTCTCGATGTATAGCAATTTCAATCGTCGTGTGTTACGTCGTTATTATTCACCTCACGCGCGAAAAATTAAGTTGTTACCGTTTTTTAACACAACCTGTGTGTGTATATAATCGGTATTTCTATTTGTACTAATTGCATGTATTCAAGTTTTGTGTACGTGAAATTTCTTGTCTCTCTTCTTCTCCGTAAAACAACACAAAAAAACGAACAGGTGGCGAGAAACTGTCGTGGAAGAGACAGGAAACTTAGCTGACGACGGCACAAAGCCGACGACGGTTCTTTTTCAAGTCGATGCGTGAGAAGTGTCACCCACGCACACATGCACACGTGCACGCCTCGAGTGCGTGTGCACCGGTCACGACAGGCAGGATCCGTGTCTTCTCGGCTCTCCAGTTTAGAGAGCCGCCCCTTCATACATCCTCCCGTTCATTCTCGCTCGTAACCACCTACACCGCGTAATCGCGCCGCGCGTCGTCGTTTTACTCGTGTGCGTTGGTTTCATTCATCGGTGTCGTCGTGTTCGCGCTTGCACGTGCACGTAACACGACGCGCACACAGACGCGACAACGATTCGCGCGGTCAAGCCCGGCGACGACGACGAGTCGCGCGGTCAAGCTCGACGACGACGATTGTGAATGAAATAGATGGATCTGTCAGTGCCAACTGTCGCGCCGTTACCGTTGTTACTTTACACGGTGCCTCTTTCTTAGATCTTTTGTCTATTTTTATTGTAAACGCGCGCGAGACACCCAAATAAGTTTAAGTCTTAAGAAGAGAATTTGTGATTATAGACCGAGACTTGCGCACTGTTCAGGAATCGAAATCGCTCTTGTGAGTCGATCTTAGATGTGTGAGAAAACAAAAAAAAATAAAGAAGTCGCCGCAATTGAAAAACCGCAACCGATCTTATGGGGATATTAATCTCTCGGGAAGAGAGATTTTTCTTTTTAGTATTTTCATTTAAAAGTGATACCGAGATCAAAGTATAACCCACCGCCAGATGCACCGTCCGATTCGACCGTGATCTACTTTTACGGTCATCGAATTGTTATAATTGATTGACGGGGATTGTGCTGTTCTAACAGAACACACATATACACGCACGTTGTAACAAATTAGTTTTGTTTTTTTTCGCGGCACCGCAAGATTTTTACAGGACTTTTGATTGTTTTACGTAAGATCTTTGCGCGCAAACGTGTGTCGGGCCGGTGATTTTGCCAAATTTTGTTGGCGAACGATACCATCGTGGAAACGACTGATAACGAAAATGAAGTGTAATCGACCTTGCGATAACGGTTAAGCAAGAGAAACGCCGATCTTTAGTACTGAATATAATTGCGAACTTTGAAACGAGCGGATCGCGCGCGCGCGCGCACACACACACACACAGAAAGACCGCAACTCTAATTATTTCAAACTTTCGTCACCAAACTTCCGCTCGCGGTGTAAACGTCGGATTTATGTAACATACGTAATCAGTTTTGAATCGAAAATTGCTTCTGTCTGGAATATTTTTCAATTCAATCCCCGTTCGAGGATTCTTTCTCAAAAATCGCTCGCAAGATAATCCAAGAGCGCGAAGTGTTTGTTTTGTTTTTTAACGTTCGCTTCTTGACGGACGCGACAAGTGGAAAGACATATATACATATATACATATATATATACGTAGAAGAAGCAACGGCGAACGACAGAGAAGAACTGTTTTCACGTGTGACATTCGTATGGAACACTGACGGTGAGGAATCGAATGAGTGCTTACACGTGCGCGATTGTCAAAATGCGGAGCCGCATCGCGGATTCTTGGACAACCCCGACAACCAACAACGACTGCATCATCGTCCGGTGCAGCTGACCACCGCGTGAGTATCACGAGAAGAAATATATATATATATATATGGAGTATCTGTCTTATAAAGCGTCTTTGCGCGCGACTTAAATTCTCGCGCGTTATTTCCTATTATATCCGAAGAGCGACGAAAATAAAATAATCGACCGGCGTGCGAGCGCGGAGCGACAGCTGTTAGATAAGATACACCGGGAGAGGCGAGGTATCAGAGCCTATGTTAAGTTATTGCCCGTCATGGTCGAACTTAAACACGTGGAGTAATTTATCAATCTGCGAATATGTTACGGAAGCGCTTAGGCGCTCGCGTCGCCCGGAGAGCGGTTTGCGACTTTGTCGCAACGGAAAAGCGCGATATAAAACGCGCGAAAAGAACTTGAACTCGAGAAGTTTCGGAAAAAAAAAAAAAAAACGCATTTTGCTCTCGCGCTCCGTCTCGAGTTCGGCAGCTCGATAATGACGGAAATACAAAAACGAAAACAAAAAACTAATCTATCAGTTTTCACAGCGCGAAGTTGCTCTTAGAAGACGCGCTCTTGAAATACGCGCGTATCAAGAGCGAGAATAAGCGGCGAAGGTACATACAATAAAAACGCTTATCTCTAAGAATTCGTAAATTATACGTGTGATCTCTTTATTTCGCTTGCAAAACGTACGCCGATTTACAGACGCTAATATATAATGATTAGAAGCGAATCGGGATGTAAAATACAAAATGCGTAGCGTCACAAAAATGTCTTTATCTCCGCTATTAACCAATTTAGAGAGTGATATGTAGCGAATAAAGAATGGAATCTTTATAGCTGCGTTATAAATCGCGCGTATAAATGCGTTACAATAATAATAAGATCTTTGACATTCGATAAAAACGATATCGTATAAATAAATTACGATAATTACATATAACTATTACTCTATACACATTGTATTAATTAGGGTTGAAATTAAAAATCAATGACAATTGCGCTGCATTTTGACGCTGAACGGTCACGTGCAGAAAAGTGAGAACTTATCTTGTAACGTGTTATCAAATGAAACGATCAAGAACGTGCTCGGCAACGAAAGAGAGAGAGAGAGAGAGAGAGAGAGAGAGTATAAAAATATCACAAGACGTCTTTGGCGATAGCGCCAAATCGCTCGCGTGTGGTCTCCGTTGCAATCGGGATGTATCTCTTTCTCTTTCTCTCTTTCTCATCTCCGAGTTCGCGCTCGATAATATACATCTCGTGCAAACTGACTCGAGTGAGCTCCGTAAATAATAACAAATCGCGATGTGTAAATAACAAATCAAATGTCGAATAACAAATCAATAGTGGACTATTGGCGCGGATTAAAAACGTTCGAAGTTGAAGAAGAACAAATAAATCAAAAATTCGATTTATCAAGGTTTATTTGTGCCTCTTTTGAGCGATTTTATGAAAAACTAAAAACACGTCAAAAGCAAAAAACTACAATATTCTTATCTTCTGTTTTGTGTTCTATTTTTAACTTAAGTAAATAAGTGATAATTTATTTTATTTCTCAACGAGATAATGAATAAATTTTCTGTTTTATTGCTTGATCTTGTTACTTGTGCAGCCGTCTGTAGCACGCCGATTAGATGCTACGTATAAGGGTTGGTAATTGAAGAAGCAAGTGTAAGGTAGCTCTTGCGTAATTCTCTCTCTCTTTCTCTCTCTCTCTCTATCTCGCTCTTACGACGATACTCGTATTGTTACTCGCCAACGTATTTACGATACGTGGGTGGCACACGCGTAAAAGCAATAAAAGTGCTTACGCGCACGATCAGAGCAATCAGTGTCGATGCAATTCGTCGAAGTATATAAAAAGTTTAATCGGAAGTTTTGACGTAAAATTTAACGTTCCGCGAAATTCGTCTCGATCTCCTCTATAAATGCGATATTTTTCAACAAGTTACTTATTACCTGACGCGAGAGAGAAATACTTTCTACTTATTAAGTAAAGTTTGTGTTCTCGTCAAATTCTTGAATGTTGAATTTGAAACTTTCAAGCAAATGCGCGCCGCCGTGACTTTGAGATGTTTTTTTTTTTTTTTTTTTAATTTAAGAACGTATTAAATTAATTTCCGACTTATGTTGTAATAATGTCAATCAAAATAAACGTTGAGTTAATTTTAAGTAAGTTGAAAATTTTATTATTAAAATTGTGATGCCACGAAGAATTAAACGACAGTTGATCTGAAATCATCAAGATCGTATTGTACGTCGAGTTAATCGGTGTGATAACCCGCTTAAAACAATTGATCTTCGTGTGATGAATCTTAATTGAAAAACATACACGCGATCCATCGGCACTTGGGAACGGCCATGAGCTCAGTGAGTTAGTATGTCAATTATATCATAAGCCCGCCACAAAGAGAGTGCGCTAACATCGATATACACCGGACATTTAACTCATCGCCATCGCTTATTCAAACTGCACACGCGACTATTGCGAAGAACGTTTTAATTGTAAAACCTCCGCGTAAAAAAAAAAAAAAAAAACTTTCATAATCGACGATTATTAGTTTGTATTGATTGTTGCTAGTTTTTTACTCAAAATACTTGTGATTCGCGCAATGACAACTTTTGCACGCACGCAATATATCGGATACGAATTTTTATACATTTTGTGGCGCGCGGATTAAAAAAAAAAAGTATGATGAGATTAATCACACGCACAAGTAGAGGAAATGATAATTGCGCGCGCGCCATTAACGTAGTCTCGTTTTTCGAGTAATGTAACGCGAACGAACAACGAGTGACATACTGACCTAACGAGATCAGGTGTCGGTAAAATCTCATATATCGAACAATTTATAGAGACAGTAGAAAATTCGCGCGAGCGCGCGCGCAACTGAATGACACGTGGGTATGTGCTCTATTTTATTGAAACTCGTCGGGAAAATCGTCGCATATTTGAATGCGTTCTAGTTGCACTAGTTCATTCAGATCTAGTTTCAATGTCGACCTTTGTCAGAGATCAAGAGCGGACCTTGCGTAATCGACGCTTGAAAAGGAACCACCAAAGATATATGTATATATGCGTTAGCGAACAAGCGTGTAATGTATATTTTATACTCTAAACGTAACTCGGGATGCGCGCCAAAATCTCTCACACTCGCAAACGTTCGCTCGAAACTCGGATTTTTGCGTTCGCGAAATAATATCAGTCGTCGAAATATATATTACATTTTTTGAGGAAAAAAACTCCCGCGATAAGACCCCTTAACGAAGTACGTAATAAAAATAGAAAAACATTGTCGTCATTTAAAATGTACATGATAAGCAAACGGTTAGCATCAAACAATCGGGCGTAGTAAAATTGACGTCCTTGCCCGAAACTCGTTACACCAATACCCCCGGACACGAGATTCGAAATGCGCTTGCAATCGATATACACACCTATACGGGCCAAACCTCTTTAACTCGAAGTCAAGGTAATCGATAAGAATGCAAATATATATATAGAAGTTTTTTTATTCCTCAAACTTCGAGTTATACGAGTTTTTTTCGCAAAAAAGTCAGTTTTAAATTAATTTGAATTTTAGAAAGTTATAGATACGTGCTCGCGTAAATATTCTTAGAGTTCTTTTTTTTTTTTTTTGACTGTAGATTTTTTGTAGAAAAATAAACATTTGATTTGCGAAGCAGAGATTTTCGATTTGAAGAAAAGTTTGAGAGAGTTGGCGAGGTTTGACTATGCAAGTAACGAAAGTGTTATATCGTGACCAATAATCGATGTGCGATTATCGATTTGACTTCAAAATCGTAAAGTGTCAATTTGAACAAACGGATTTCTTTTCGGCTTCGTCAAGATGAAACGCGGCGTATTCGTACAAATACGGCGCGCTATTTGAAACCGAGAAATGTGAGACCATTTGTACCGCCGCCACCGAGAGACTCAATTGCGAGAAAGAAATCTGATCGATTTCGTAAGTCGATCTCGCGGAACAATTGTATTGTTAACAAAATCGCTCGTGTCAAACGCTGGATCTCGACGATGAGTGGCATCCTCACCATGTTGATTAGAGCGATCACGAACTGGCGGTTCAAGTGAGCAAAGCAAGAGTTTGCGAGCTTTTACGATTACTCGCTTAATTAGCTGTGCAAACGCATCGATCGCATCACGTTTTCCGGATCACCGACTGTTATCCATCAAGAAACGCAAACACATTCATGCGTCGTCAAACGTGTTGTTGTTAGACACGCGAAGTTTTAACACCTGCTGAGTTTCATCGTGTTTTCTATGTCGCAATTCTACGAGCGATGCAATTTCTGCGTTGTTCGTCAAGTCGTCAAATACGCAGATGAAAATTCATATGTTTATAATTTTTTTTTCGAGACATTCTCTCTCTCTCTCTCTCTCTCTCTCTCTCTCTCTCTCTCTCTCTCTCTTATTTTTGTTTCAATCAAATGTTTTCAATCACTCAGTGTTTATGTTTTTTTTTCTCTCGTAATTTTATTTAAGATTGTGAATCTCGCGCGCATTTTTTTCTAACACCAAGTGCTCGCGAGAGATGAAACAACACGAGAGAGTTTCGGAGAAGATCTAACAATTAGAGAGAAGCGTTGAGCGCTTCTAATATGTGGACTGTGTGTGTGTGTGTGTGTGTGTGTGTGTGTGTGTGTGTGGCCTAATCCTCCAAGTTACCAGAATACAAATTGTCACGTTACGAGCGATGTTAGAGCATTACGACCGCGGTTCCATACAGGATACGGTCATAGACGAGACCAGTGAATCCTATTCGCGCGTCATTGACCGACTGACTCGTTATGAGGAAAATTTTTCCGTTCTACTTTTAAATAACAAGGATTGAATGAGATTAGCAAGCGTATGTATTTGCAATACTTTTTTTTTTTTGCGCGATATAATGAGTCTTCTGAATAAATAAATAAATAATAAATCACTTACGCGAAGCGCAAACGTGTAAATTTTATTTAAATACATTGCGTCATCTCGCAGTCCGTAAGTTTGCTTCGAGCCGATTCGTTTCTGTTTCATTTGCTTCGTAACGTAAAACAAACTAACGAGCAATCGCTCGTCGCAATTGTGTCGCATTTGTTTTTTTTTTTCTTATTGTTTCACGGTTTGTGGAACTTATACGTATTATACGTTTGTCGTTACGCGCAGTTCTACATATCAGAACAAGAACGCGCATATACATATATGGCGGAAACAAAAAAAAAAAATTAAACAGCACAAAAGAAGCGCAGTTACGAAACGTTGCTTTTAGGAGGTATCGCGAGCGTAGAATTGCAATGTGGAGCGTGTTAATCCGGGCAGTCGTAAAAGTGATCAGATTCAGAAAATCCAGAGTGACGCAACCAAGTTCCTCGGGGAAGCTCAATTTTTTTTTTATGTTTATAGAGCGCGCGGAAAGTCACATCGCGAAAGAATGAGATCGAACGTTACGTTCTTTCGATGTTTCTCTTCGCGGTAGCTCAATTTTGTTTGGAAGACTCGGCGAAATTAATCGAGCTTCCCGTATATATAATTCGCACGCGCGCATAGAAGAGCGTGTTACGTAAGAGTGTGCAAAAACGATGTGTGCAAGACGATTATTACACGACACCCTTTCGAGGATAAATTTAGAAACTTGTGCTTTTCGCACGTTGGCGTAAATCACAAGTTTGAGCAACGTGTTTTAAGCGCGCGTCGCGCTCGCAAATCTAAAGATAGCCTTCGATAACTTATGCATTTGTATCACGATAGACGCAGACCTTGATACGCGGACGCGTCTATATAACGTCGATTAAAAGACTTCCACGTGTATAATCGTATTGAATGTATTTAAATTTTTGAAGGTCGCGCAATTATGCGCAAATTATTGAAATAAACTCGCACGGTAAATCGCGAGGTTATCGATGTACGACTGTGACTATTGTATCGAAATGACAGAAAAAATTGCAAATGTATTGTCCACTTAATCTACACAGACTACTGTTGCAATTTATTTCCACTGTCTCACCTTGGACCTATGGCTCTTTGGTTTACGTGTTTCTCATAAGTCTGTCTCCGCTGAGCCTTTAACTTTATTATTGCAAATGTATTATTTAAAAAATGAAAAATTATACAGGAAATTGCGACACGTGTAATCGATAATAAAAAAAAAACTGCATAATTACGTATGTACGTACCGTTCGATGGGCAATTAACGTTACATTATTGTTGCTGAATAAATTGTTGCCATTATTTCAAATTGCGGCGCAATTAGTAGCGAGCGAACAGAATTATTCATAAATCGCGAAAATTATGCGAAAACGGACGCGAGTTGTGTAACTCTCGCGTAATGCGTAAATTCATGAATGAACCAGAAGCTTCGCACCACAACCGTCGAGTGATGACGCAATCGCGTATGACGTCACTCGCGGGAAAAGGTGCGAGAAAGTTGCTAGAATAACGTAACGTTGTGTCAAACAACACAATAGAAACTTGGACGCGAGTCCAAATCAAAAAAAAAAAAAGCACGCGAACATTTCACGTGTACAATTCGCGATGCAGTTCGAAATAATGACGCAATTGCGCGCAATAAGACTCCGAGGGTCTACTATCACTCGGGATTTAAAGCGCAAGAGGATAAGAATACGAAAGGGAGTTGAGAGATACGCTCAGATAATCACGGACAACGCGATGCGGTTTGAATGTACACCAAACAACGATGACGCAATCGTTTACGATAGGTCGTTCCGAAGTGACGTCAGAACCTGAAAACGGGAAGACAACCCTTCCGGGACGGCGGGTGCGATGAATATTCGTCATTGGCGCATCGCGCCACAGAATGGTGGTGGTGGCGGCGGCTAGCCCGACGAGCGTTGTATTGGACGGTCTAAACACCGGAAAGTGGCGGATCGATAAATGTGCGCCTGCTCCGTCTCTGGCGCGTCACACCGACACAAACACACACGCATACACACACACACATAGGTTTACGTGTGTCCCCAAACTAGTTTTAAGGAGGCATGCACGCATGCCGAGCACGATGCAGGACCGCGATCAGTCGCGATGTAACCGTAGCGTGGAACGGCCTCGCACCAGGCCACCGGGTGACCACCATCAGATGCTCGACGTGGGCTGATCACGCGCTTGAAAAAAAAAAAACCGATCCGCGAAGCCGGCGATCAGCGACGATCTGAGCAGAAGTTACCTCGAAGAAGAGCCTCTTTCTTGGAAACATCGAAAATTCGTCTACAGACCACACCTGAGAATACCCAGGTACAGAAGAACTAGAGAAAACTTGACTCGAGGCTGTGAACGAGACTTGCTCCGACGCGACTTTGGCGAGAAAATGTAATTTCTTTTTTTAGAAACACGCGAAATTTGCAAGTTACTTTTTTTTTGTTTTCAGCGCAATAGTTCGCGAAGATTAGCGACCGATCGGTTTGGTTTGATATCCGAGCATTGTTGAAAGTTTTATGTCATGAACAGACTGTGGCAATCGAAGCGAATTCCGAGAGATTGAAATTCTTCAACAACTTTTGTGCGAACAACTATTGAAGCGAGTTCAGCTCTGAATAATTCAATTCGCGTTTTTTTAATTCGTAAAAAAAAGAAGAATTTTAAAGTAGAAAAAGTTCAATTCGTTTTTTTTTTTTTTTTTAAGTCTAAAAGAGTTAGCCGCTGCCGAATCGAATTCTTGAGATTCTTGCGGGTTACGATCTGAAATCTCTCCCGTCAGGGCGTTACCTTGGTGCGTGCATAATGCTGAATTCTATCGTACGAGGCGAGATTAATCCGAAAACACACACTAACTGCCGTTCAGATTCACACAGCGGAATTCGTAAAAAAAAAAAAAAAAAAAAAAAAAAAAAAAAAAAAAAACCGTAATTCTTAAATTCTTTCAAGTAAAAAATGTTTACACGAACAAGAGTAAGTTTCGAAGCGAAGTCTTGGGTGTAAAAATCACAAAAGTTTGTCTGAGATCAAGATCGGCTGTAGTTTGTCAATTTATCTTTAGAGAAAACAATGTCGAAGGTCGCGGAATTCAGATCGGCGAGCGCTTGTCGGGATTTGCCCGACGACTTGATTGAGCGTAGGTTAAGGTTACGAGAACTCGTGCAATCCGCACGTCTCAATGTGCTTTCCAGAACGAGCTTGTCTATTCTACTGGTCGGTCGGTCGATGAATTACGCAAAGTCCAACTGACCAGACAATGAATATATCGAATACAATCGAAACGTGTCGTACGTCTCGCACACTGCGCTCGCTACCGATTTCTGTTCGAAGATCGATCGACCTCGCAGTCTGTCTAATGTTTAACCGCTGCGGGTAAATTCTGTTTTTATTTTTATATGAAAAAAGTAAACATAAAAAAAAAAATATTAAATGTCTAGTATTAAAAAAATGTACATGTTTATTATTAAAAAACAAAAAAAAAAAAAAAATATATATATATATATATACGTGGCTTCTGTAAAAATATGTTGAACTAATATTCGTTTTTTTTTCCAAACATAGAACAAATAATGGAGAGAAATTGGAGAACAGAAGAGAAACAGAGTAAAATAATTTAGCGTTTTTAAAAATAGGTGTACAAAAATTAATTCTCGAGGCCTTTTTCGACCAACACGTTTTGATATTGATTTATAAAAACACGAATACAAACTCAATCTTCGAAGTAATTCTCGCTGTTTATACATTTTTTTTCCATCTCTCAGGCAATTGCCGGATTCCAGTTTCGGAAAAATGACTGTGGCCTTGAATTAACGAATTCATCGTGGCTTTTTTTGACCTATTCAACTGACTTGAATCGAGAATCAGTTAGGTGATGCTGTAGGTCGCTCGAAACAGGCGATAATCCGAAGGAGCTAAGTCCGGAGAATATCGCCGCATGAGGGAGAATTTCCCAGCCTAAATCGAAGATGATTTCCAGAGAGTTTTTTTTGCTGTACGTGACCGGGCGTTATCCTGCAGCAGTATCACCTTTCTTCTTCCACTCTGCCCCAGTAAATGATCTTTTTTCTTCAAGGGCGTCATTTGCACGATTTAATTGTTGTCGATAGAGCTCGGCGGTCACGGTCTGACCTTGTCCGAGCGATATAGTGGATCACGATCTTCTGATCCCACCAAATCCCACAGCAACACCTCTTTTGCACGGATGTTCGGTTTTGCGATGCTCGTTGAGCACGGCTCATCTGGACGGACCCATGATTTTCGCCTCTTAAGATTGTCGTACAATACTCCGCTTTTCATCACAAGTAACAATTTTGTGCAAAAAAATTCTTTTTCTTGAACCTGGAGAGCAAGAAAAGAGCGAGTACGTCTGCTTTTGTTTTCGGGAGTGAGCTCGTGAGAAGAAAAACCAACCGGGATTTCTTTGCGAGAATCCTCTCCAGCTGTTTCAGGCCATGGGAAACATTGCTTGCCGTGTTACTCCAAGCGCATTTGCAAGTTCCGATTGCGTTTGTGGCAAGAATTCTCGTCCAAAATTTCCTCCAACTTCTCTCGTCTTCTACTTTTTTTGGTTGACTAGGTCGTCTCTCAAGGTCGAGATTTTCTTTTCGAAACTGTTGGAATCAATTTTTACACGTGCTGTACGATACAGCGTTCTCGCCCAAAGCCGAACAAATCATTTCTTTCGTCTCAGCCGCGTTTTTTTTTTTAAGTTGAAACGCGAAGAGAAGACAGTGCCTCAAATGTTGTTTTTCGAACGACATCGCGTTTACTGCTGATTTTTCAGATTACGTTCACAGGAGGATCAAGTATTGTACCTCATTTTAAAGCTAAAAGATGGCACTTCAAAGTGACTGTAGAGGGAGGGGGGAAAGTTCAACTTAAATGAGATTCCGAGGTCGCTGAAATAGGGGCTGAGAATTAATTTGTGTACACCAATATTATCTCTCTCTCTCTCTCTCCTCTCTCTCTCTCTCTTTATCTCGTGTTTAAAAAAATTAAATATGTCGAATACATATAAATATTAAAAAAAAAAAAAACTCATTCTATCTATCGTTTTGTATAATTCCACAATTATATCAGATATCTTGAAACAAAATTTTTGTCTCGTTCTTCTAAAGTCCACTTTGTGGCAGAAGATCGTTCTCCAGATATAACGATAATGACCAAGAGCAATCTTGATTAATCAGCTGTGTAATCATAATTTAATCGCGCACCTTACAGTAGTTTCGGATTCCCGGCCGCGCGAGATCGTTTGAATAACGTTTAATCGCAATTGAAATGACGCAGCGACGATTACAAAAAAAAAAAAAAAACCGTTCGGAAACTTCAGACGGAGGTCGTGAAGAATTTGTATAAAAACTCACTTGGCGGTCTTGATCGTCGACGATGATAAAAGGAGATGGAAAACTTAATTGAATTGCGGTGTGTCGCTGATAGGTTTCTTAACGTGCGTAATTCAACGTTCTACGCAAATTACTATAATCACGCAATGACACGCGCTCTCGCTACGCCGATATCGCAAAACAAAATTATCATAATTCCCATCGAGACGTAACTCTCGCGCGGGTGGAAACTGTGCGTGTTAAATGCTAATTAGCAGGCTCACGTGGTGTGTGCATAATAAATCATTCGTCCGTAGTACTATTCGAGCGCGATAATTATTCACAAACATCGACGCGATCTGAGAAAATCAGTTCAAGTGTGTTTCGAGACGCGTGCGTTGCGAGACGAGATATCAGCGTTTGCAATGTTTTGTTTTAATTTATAAAACGATAATCACTCTCTCGAGATGTAACAAAATCAAAGAGCGCAAATTCTTTTCGAACCAGTTGCTTTGTCTCGTGTCTCAAACAACAAGGTAGAAATGAAAAAAATTCGATCGATTTGCTTCACTAGATGTAAGTTCCGTTATATACGCGAGTATAGTCGATTAACACAAGCGACTTCTTTGACAGTGATCTCCTTTGCGTGAAGAACCTCTTTATATTTCTTCGCGCCGCTGGATGAGTCATTTAATTTCGTCGTGATTAACATCTACTCCGGAACAAGTCTGATCATCGAAAGAGAGAGACAGAAGAAAGAGATAGCTGCTTAATTACGTAATTTTGCGTTGTTTGTATCCTGAAATAAAACCGTCACACCGTCGTCGTCGTCGTCGTCGTCGTCGTCGTCGTCGTCGTCGTCGGCGGGGCGAGAGCCTTATCATTCTTCTCAAAGAAGAATGACTATACATTTGCGACAGCGAGTTTCGCGCAGCCCTCAGTAGGAAGATGATAGAGGGCCAGGTGCATCAACATCCGGTACGAGTGCCGCCCGACAAGTCACAGCAACCCCAGACTGCCAGCGTCAAATTTGAAAAGTATGTTGCAAAAAAAAATTAACGTGTTATTCTCTTCGAGATCTTCCGATCGCGAGGAGAGTTATGAAGTGAAGAAATATACGAAAGATAAAAAAAAAAAAAATAACAAAGAGCAAAAAAACTAACCGAAACGGCGTGCGATCGCGTTTGGTGCGACGATCGTAATATATACGATATAGTGATATAAAGTGAGTGCACAACGACAATGGGATTGCGAATGAAATTTATGCGGTGTCGAAAGAGAAAAATTAAATCGCACGGATTTTTATGCGCGACACGCACACGTGTGCGACACACGCGTAACGATCAATCGCACGCACGCCGAGCGAAATCACACGCTTCTCATTCATTAAATTTAAAATTCGAAGCTTTATTTATTTATCTATTTTTTGTTAAGCATCATCATGTGGCAATTACATTGTGTGCAATCTTAATCCTTTGACTACCGGGGATTGATTTACGAAATCGCAATTTGTGAATTGGTAAAAACTGAATAACGTGTCGCAAAATTTATTTATTAATTAGTTGCAAATGCCGTGCTTTTTCAAATTTTTCCGTTTAATTGTTTTCCATTTTGTGTTTCCACTGATTAATTCTTCGTGAACAGATCTCAAAAATATAACGACTAGTCGATCTCCGTAAGACCTATCGCGATTTTAAAATCGAATATCTCCGCGAAAAATCAATATTTTTTCAATTTGTTTTAAATCGAAAGTTTGAACGATTCTGCTTCAATAAAAAAAAAAAAAACAAATGTAAAAAGTCTAATCTAGTTTCAAAGATATAAGCGTTAAAAAAACAACTAATTTTTACTAGAGACGCCAACGCGCAATTTTCTAGTGGGTCTGGGAGACCCATGTCTGTCCGCAAAGAGTTAAAAAAAAAGTATGTAAAGATATGTGTATATATAGCTTCAAGAAGTTTTACTAAACAAAAGTGTTATGGCTATTAAAGCAAATACAGATGTCGATGTGTGAATAGTTGAATCAATTTATTGAAACTTAGTGCAAAACGTTTTCGACCTTGTATTAGGTCTTTCTCAATGCGGGTTTAATTTACAGAGTGACACGGAAAATTTAGACAATTCTTATTTACCTTTTGTCGATGATACATCGTATGTTATTTGCGGATTTGACTTCTATTTAAATACACACTCTGTTTCTCAGTCGCTTTATTCCATTTGTAAAGTGTTGGTCGGGTCTGCTTGTGCGACGTATTTTACTAAAGTATTTTGTAAGTGACATTTATATAATATCATTACTCTGCGATTTTTAATTTCTTTAAATTTCATTAATTGGATTGTACATTAATTTTATAGTTGTAGAAATGCATTGAGAAAGATCTAATACAAGGTTCGAAAACGTTTTGCACTAAGTTTCAATAAATTGATTCAACTATTCACACATCGACATCTGTGTTTGCTTCAATAGCCATAACACCTTTGTTTATTAAAAAAAAAAAATCTAAATTCTAAACAATTATTCCATTGGTCACAAAATGATTTTTTTTTTTCAAGGATAAAAGATCCTAATGTTTCGAGATTGTCACAACCTTGTAGCCAAAGGGTTGTTAAATAAGATTTGTCGTTGGTGTCCGTTCAAGACGAGCAAAAATCTCCGTTCTGTGTCCGCAGTGAGCAATGTAAGGAGCCCCTGCTTCCGGAGAAGCAGAACTCCCACAGGATGACACCGACCGACGGCCGCTCGCGAACCACTTCCGAATCGAAGGACACCACCATCAATGGACAGGCGGCCGCGGCGAACTCCACCACTAACACCAACACCACAACCACCACCACCACCACCACAACCGCCAAGGAAGGTCTCGAGGTGACCATCTTCGACGAGAGTGGCGACGGTGGCCGATTGCCGGACGTCGTCGCCGAGATTTACGGCGTGTCCGACGAGAACGAGCCGCTCGAGTCCTACTTGGCGATCACCATCCAGGTCTTCATACCCTTTCTCATCGCCGGTCTGGGTATGGTGGGCGCGGGACTGGTTCTCGATATGGTCCAAGTACGAACGAAATTTTATAATTTTATCGATTCTCTTGCGAACAACACAACATTTTCCTCGAAACATATCGTTAGATGCGATTCGTAGAAATATCCCATTTAGGTCAAGTCGCGATCAATGCGATGGCACGCGATGGCGTTCTCAAGTAAAGTGCAATTGGACGCATCAAACTTCTGAATTGATCTTCATTTTCAACACAATGGCAAATATCATACCATACTTTATCGTTTGTTATTCATTTGCACGCACATTGAAAGGATTTTCCGATCCAGTAAATCGGAAAAATCACTTTTTGGTGTTTTTTGAATCGTTAAATTACGTCTGTTTTTTTTGGGGAGGGGGGCGGGGGGGGGAAGAGGGTGTTTTAAAATCGTAATATCACGACGTTTGTTCGCAGCACTGGGTAGTATTTGAGAAAGTTAACGAGCTCATGATTCTGGTACCGGCGCTTCTTGGGCTGAAGGGCAATTTGGAAATGACTCTGGCGTCCCGTCTATCAACTCAGGCGAATCTCGGACACATGGACATGCCGAAGGAACAGTGGCACATGATTGTTGGAAATCTCGTTTTGATACAGGTGAGAGAACGAGTCGGTCTCATCGTCAGCGGCTTTAAAAAGCTTAATTTAAACTTTTTTTTCACGCTGTCGACGCGAAAAGTCACTCGTACTATGTACTTTCTACAACAATCGACATTTTTTTTTTTTTTTTTGTTTCGATTATTTCGAACGAGACGATCTCTTTTGTGTGTTAATTCGCGTTATTACACGCGCCGAGTTTTACATAAACTTTGCGCGGTTGCGCTTCAAATCGCTTATTGCCGAGACTTCAAAGAGACTTTACTTTCGCGAAAAACTGGTTTTAACTAGATGTTCCCCAATTAAACGCTGATATTTGCCATTTGTCACTCTCGAACGTGTGTCATAACTTAATCACGTCAAATATATAGCAAAACACATATTGGTTCAATTCGGCGCCATATATTTTTCCTCTTTCTGAACTTTTATTCGGCTAATCTCTGTGCTCGACTTCCCGACGCCTCGGGAGAGGCGCACGTGTCTCGTTTAGCAATTCTGCAGTGCGTGGAAAAGTTCTACGCTATTAATCATCCCGGCTCATTATCGCCTAGCCGGTAGCCGGTAATAGGAGAGGAGCGGGAGAAGGGAGCAGACGCCGTCCCGGGCGCTGTCTTTTAATAGGATCAATTGAGCAGTAAACGCATTATTGTTTTTTGTCGTTACGACCCGTATGTAATCTGATGATTGTTTAGCTGTGAAAATCACCGAATAGCTAACCGCCTCGTGTTGTTGATACGTTCTGAAAATTGACAAGAAAATAAATAAACAAAGCGCGACGGCGGCGGTTTGATTCTCGGTTAAACGGACTAATTGTGAAACAATGAGGGAAAGCAAGTAAAACAGTTTTTCTAAGCCGCGCTCAATCTAACAAATTAAGCTACGACCGTCGTATCGACCGTCTCTCTCTCTTATCATTTGGCGCCAGATTTTATTTTATTATGCATTTAGCGCTGACGCGGTAGAGACGACGACCTTCGGTGTATAAACTCGACTGTTTGCTTGTATGATCTCTCGTATGTATGTACGTGTTCTCTCTTTGCAATACGCGTACATCACACCATATACGCTCTATTAATTAATACCTACCAGGTCTGGTACAGAGTAGCTCTGAGAATAAAATAGTTTGTTTTTTTTTTTTTTTTTGTTGCTTTGCGGCGTTTTCTTTCTTTTCACACGTTTTTTCTTAGGAAGTTGGTAGAAAGGGTTTTTTCGCAATCATTTTTGTGAAAAACGCGTCTCTTTTGTGTGGATCTTTCAGAAAGAAAGTTCTCTCGTTGTTTTAGAGTTAACTCTAATAGTGTAAATCTCCCGGACATTAATGTTCGAGCGATTCTTGAAAATGAGAAAATCTTGTTATCTATATTTAATGAAAGAATTTCTAAAAACTAAAAAGAATTCATAATATTATTGCTTAATACGGAAAATAAAACAATATATCATAATTAATGTTATTTTTTCAACTATAGAATGTTGAATAAAGCTCCGTGAGAGAATTTTTACAGAGAGAAGTTTTGCAACGTTTTAACCAATTGCGTCAGACAAGTGGGGATTTACACAAGATACTTAATAAAAACGTTTGCAGGAGTAAGGATTAATAATGTTCATTTTTTTTCTCAATGTAAATATATATAAATATTTTATAATACATCTTTTTAGATACGTATTACATTACATTTCGCATTTTTTAATCTCTCAGTAAAAAAAATTGCTTTACTTTTTGCGCAGTGTCAAGCAATAGTGGTGGGCTTTCTTGGGTCTCTGGTGGCGATCGTGATGGGTGCTTTTCGCAACGGCACGGTATCTCTGGATCACGCTTATTTGTTGTGCGCAAGCAGTCTGGTCACCGCGTCTCTCGCTTCCTTTGTTCTGGGTCTTATTACCGCGGCCGTCATCGTTTTCTCTCGTCATTGCCACATCAATCCGGACAACGTGGCCACGCCGATAGCCGCAAGTCTCGGCGACATCACGTCGCTCGCGCTTCTCTCGTGGATTGCCACTGTACTCTACGAATGCATAGATAAGCAGGACTGGGTTGCGCCTCTCGTTATATCCTGTTACATCCTCGTAACACCTCTCTGGGTCTGGATCGCCAAGAAGAACAAGTACACCAACGATGTGCTCTACTTCGGCTGGACACCGGTCATGGTCGCTATGCTGATCAGCAGGTAAAGAAAGATCAGATTGATCTCTCAAACTACCTTTGTTGCGCCTGAAGCACTCGGTGCAGAATAATCTGGAATCTATAATACAACTCTGTTTGTTGCACAGTTGCGGCGGTCTCATATTGGAATTCATGGTATCGCGCTTCGAGAATCTGACGGTGTTTCAACCGGTAATCAACGGTGTCGGCGGAAACTTAGTGGCTGTCCAGGCCAGCAGGATATCGACAGCGCTTCATAAACAAGCTGAGCTCGGCACGCTTCTAATTCCGCCTGGTCACACGCATCCCGTCATCTTCATCACTCCCATTGCTAATTTTTTCGGAAAAGGTGTGTAATTTTCGTTCCGACTAACTGATCAGAAGTTTTTTTTTCCTCTATACATCAAGATTTTTCTCTTTATCATCTTTTCTTATCGTTTGTTTTCTTCTAGGTATGCACGCTAGAACAACGAGAGTTCTGATGGCGATGGTGATACCGGGTCACATCATTTTTATTTATCTGATCAATTACATGAAGGACGGCAACACGTCGATGACGCCGCTATTTGTCTTCGTTTATCTATGCGCGGCGATGCTGCAAGTCGCGGCGTTGCTCTACATCGCCTTCATTATGATCCACTGGATGTGGAAGCGAAAAATCGATCCCGACAACTCGGCGATCCCGTACTTGACCGCTATGGGCGATTTGCTCGGGATCAGTTTGCTCGCGATTGCCTTCCAATTTCTGTACCTGGTCGGGGATCAAGAATTCGACGCGCCCTGACTGTATTAAGACTTGTTATTCTGTGACGATGAGCACATGACAACCAATGATGGTAATTGACATGTTGGCAATTTTTTTTTATTTGCACGCGTAACTAGTAGGATCTGTACGCTCAGTTGAAGCTCAAGTCAGTAGTCACTCGAAAATCATGTACTGGAGGAACTATTAATTAAAAACAAATTTCAAATGGCGGTAAAATCATTTGACAACTTTACTTATCTTTAGATCTTTAGCCTTTTAGACATAACATTATAGAAGCATTAATTTGCAACGCGTTTTACAAAAACATCAGTAGTTTTTTTGCAGATAAATATGTTCGCAGAAGTAGAATGTAGCGTATTTTGTTTGTTTTTTTGCAGAGTCACAAATTATGACGTTTCTTTGACGGGGATGGGTGACGCACAAGTAGAAAATGTCGGACCGAAAGGGCATTCCTACGAGGCTGTGGTCGTCTGAAAGTATATTCCACCGAAAACAAACAAAAAAAAAAAAAAACCATTTTTTCGATTTGCTAGTCGAAGAAATAAATAGCATGTTTTATATAGGGCAATTGCGAAATTATCATTTGGCTGAACATTAATAATCTATCATTTTTATTTTGCGTCATGCAATGTTAATTAGAATTTAATTCAAATCTCAAACCAAAAGATTTCACAAACCAGCTGTTTTTATTTTTTTTTAAGCTGTAGGACAAACAAGATTGTTTTTTTTTTTTGTCTATATAATACTTGAGAAGTACAACTTTTAGAAATATGCAAAATAAAACTGATACGACATTATTAATGCCTTATCAATAGACTTGCGCATGTTTTGTACACAATGTGCATATTTTTATAGGCGGTACAAGACAACTAATGATCCAATGATAAAAATATCGTTTCGTCACCAACGTTATTTTTTTTTTACGTTTCGGAGGAATTCAGTTCCTCGGCTCTCTTCTATAAAAGTACGCACAAAAACATCCGCAGCTCTATATCAAGTAAAGCGGGCGCACTCAGGTTTTTTTCTTTTTTTTTTTTTAATTATTATAGATATATTAATACGCAGGATATTTCGCGCATTGTTGTAGTTACAGTACCAACAAAACGGGGGCATGATTCTTCACGAAAATGATGTAATGTGGAGTAAAAATAATAATTGTTTATTTTACATTGTAGAATTTTTCTTGAAGAATCGCACTTTGTTCTCCGGTATCGCATAGCGCTGGACATCCTGTTTAAATCGCTGATTATCACAGAGTATAAAAGATTATTTTCTTGAAAGAAGCTCTGTGTGTGCGTGTGTGTGTGTATGTGTGCGCGTGTGTGTGTGCGTGTGCGTGTATTTGTGCATGAAAGATATTACTTAATCAATTTCGGTTACCAAGCAACGGATATGATTAGAAAATACTTGCGGAAATATACAAGGTGTCTGATAATAACCGTGTCATTTATCAGATAGGGCGGGTTGTGCCGAAAAGTTATTTACCACTTTGCAATAATTAGTAAATTATTCGTTTAAATAAACACCTGCGAAAACGAGATCTCCTTCGTGAAGATACGATCCGAGAGCGTTTCGCCTTGCGTCCAGCAACCGTGAGTGCGCGGCGAAACGCCGGGTTGCCTCTTCATGGTGAATTGTGCACGTTGCACATTTGATCTTTTATATAAATTAATAATTCATTACTGTGTGCAAAACACACAAAAAATGAAGGACTCGGCACAATCTCTCTCTACCTGTCCATGAGACGACACGATTTTTACAAAACACCTTGTACATATATATGCACACATATGTTTAATTAAAATGTTTTTTGCGCGTAATGTACAAAGCCTAAGATTTAGCTTAAAGATTAGAAGGAGGGTTTTTAAGTCCGAGAATGCGATCAGTTTACTTCGATGTAGCGTGAACGAAAGATCGAGGCGATTGCGAAGAATTCTATATTTTTCAAGAGATGAATTAGAAAAGGATCGACACGATTTGAACACAATTGGATTTATAACGTGCGATAAGACAACACCGTAAAACCTTTCGTTTCGTCATTCCGCGGGTCATTCAGCAAGTATATTCTGGTTCTTCCACAAAAACAAAACAAATACGCGTAAGTAACAGTATGTGTAGTCGTAATATCAACGCGTACGTGTCTTCGAATAGTTGCCTTCGTATACGACGAAATTTATAGGGATAATAGGTATTTAGAAGCTGCCATACACGACCTATTTTTGGAAGCTTTAGAAGCTCTCGGATTATTGCTCGATCCTGAAATGTGTATGCGAATAAATAAAAATATGTGTGTGCGCGCGCGCGCGCGCGCGTCGAACTCTCTCTGAAGAGATACTCGTGCGAGATACGCATGCAAAATGAGAAATTAGTCTTCCCGTTACAGACGACTAATTCGACGATTTTCTCTTTAAATTATTGTACGTGTGTATATAAATTTTCAAAAAAAAAAAAAAAAAAAATATTCTCTTGATTGTAAGAAGTTCCTTGAGAAGAGAGAGACACGCAGTATTAAAAAAAAAAAAAAAAACAAAAAACCAAAAAAAAAAACAATGATATCTACATAGCTACATATCTTATAATTAAAATTGAACCGATGAAGCGCAAATAATTGCGAGAAAGCAGAGAGAGAGAGAGTCAGCAGAAAATCTCGCGTGACAAAGAGATTGATCATTTTGTTAGTAGCATTACTCCAATCGCTCTTATTGTTAACCAAGTCGGAAGTGTGTGTATAAAAAAAATTTCACGAATGAAAATTAAAGAAACTTCGCGAATGTGATCGTAAGATACTCAATTGGGATAGAGTCACGCAAATACGCGATACAATTGAAACTCGAGTCTGCGGTGCAGGATGATGTTTTTTTTTTTCTATTGTAGTTGGATCGCACGCGAGGATTGATAGCGAAAGAATTGTAATCATGTCGTTGCGACGCTCGCACGCGATTCGAAGAAAAGCATCGCGTGTGCGTGTCGCGCGGGTTTCGCAGTTGTTCGAAATTAAAACGCAAAGTGTGCAGTTGTTTGAGGAAATATATAAAATCTACAGATTCGAGATTTTGTTTCTCTATTATCGAGGTATTTCGCGATGAATCGAATCCTGACGAACTTTTGTTACGAAATTGCGCACGATTCGGATAGTCATTGCTTCGTGAGGATAACGATATTTTCAATTGAAAAAAAAAAAAAACAAAAAAGAGCATTTATAGTTACATACTGTTTTTCTGACATCGCGTGAACACTTTACTACGTACTAATCTAACTGCACAAGAGACACGATACGACACGCCTTCACGTTCGAGAAAACAATTTCATCACGTCATAAATTTCAATCGCGTTTATCACACAGCGATACTTCGGTCGAAGTTTAAATTTTGTTCGATACATCTGTCAGTTTGTTATCATGATAGCTGAGGAAGGTAGGGAAATACCGTGCGGCGGCGTAATATCCCGCGCATTTTTGTTTGATTTTGAAGAGTAGATATCACATATGAAGACTGTCAAGTGCTCTCAGTAAAAATGTTGAAGAACGTTCGTCGAGCGAAAAAAACACATTTCGACGAAAATATTTCGGATTTTTTTTTCGTGGCAAATCGAAATGTTTTTATCGTTAATATAATATTTATTATGATATGTAATAAGATTGTTTCACTTTGTGAAACAAGAGGAAGTGGTCAGCAATGTTTTTTTTTCGATTCGCACATCGTTGCGTTTTAATTTTCGCTCGACGAAAACGTTTCAAACTTTTTCCGTACGATGAGCGATGGTTCATGGTTTTGTAATATCTAGTGTTTTCGCGTCTAAATTTTTTAAACGACATAGTATAAGCGAAGCAAAACGCTTTATTACTCGATTGATCTCACATTAAAAGTAGACACAAGTAAGTAGAATATTTATTAATGTTTATATAACAATATGTATAAGTTAATGACATGACTTGTGTTGAAATTGTAGACAATATTGTGTTGAGATTGTAGACAATTTTGTTTCATATTAGGGGATGATTGCGCGCACAGTCATTTAAAAAAAAAAAAAAAAACTAAACTTTGAAACACGCTAAAAGTTAAAGCTGATATTGATTTTTAACGTTTCCGTTTTAGCTTTGAGTGCTTTTTTAAAGTCTTTGTATACTTTTATATATTTTTTTCATATTTTTCACAAATTTCTTGAGATTTATTAATTTTACGTGTAAAATATATTATACACGTACAATTTATTTTGATATATTTGATCAAAACTATATATTATTTAAATAATTTTCTCAATTAATATCCTCAGGGGAAAAAAAATTGCGAGTAATTAACACCATGCCATGCGCGACATTCCTAATCCGATGGGGAAAGTATTTTACGTAATTATATAATATATCGATTGTGCGCTATGATAAATTTCTGCAATTTGTTTAAGCGAAGTATTACTCTTAAAAATTAACGAGGTTTCTCGAAGTGCGCGGTATTCCTCCACCTTACCTTGTGTGTACTGTATAGTATTGTAAACTAGAATATATTCCGCAAAAAGAGAGAAAGAGAGGCGTATATTCCCGTGTGTGTGTGTGTGTGTATATAATACAGTACGATGCGCGTGCATTTTAATGCGTATTACAACGAAGACTAATATTTAGTCTTCATAGTTAGGAGAAGGATTCAAGTCGATATCGCTTTTCTCGACACACATTATATATGTATATACATATGTTCAGTATTATCAATTGTTTTCCATTGCCCGGAACTTTGCCAAGTGCGGCGGCCAGGACAGTTGTTACGTAATTTTTTGGAAATCTCTTCCGAGAAGAGAATAATTTCGATTTTTTGCGTCGTTTGTTTCCTTTTCTCTTGAAAGAAAAAGAACAAAAAAGTCGGAATTATTCCGAGCGGAGTCGACTCCGAATATTTAAGTTACATAACAGCTAGCTTGGAGAAGATCAGGACTCCATCAAATCATATTCCTCACACACGCTCCTTCGACACGTATATTTCGCAATCGACTGCGTCCAATTTGACCTAAATAATATAGCACATTTATATACAAAACCAAAAAAAAACAAACGAGATTATTATGATTGTACGAATTTATGCGATAATTGCTTTCACTAACACGATAAAAATAATTTAAACATATGTATTGTAGAATTGTGTGAAAAACTGCGCTTGCGCATTTGTAAACGTGTAAATTCTCTCAAACTGTTCGCTCATATGTTTTATTATGAAATCAAGAGTCACTTTAAACAATTTATTAAATTTATCGCTTCTAATGTGAGTGCGCGAACACACGTTGTTCGCTTTATTTCACATGTATAGAAACGGAAAACATATATAAATTTTTTTTTTATTTTACACGAAAATGTGCTATAAACACGCAGACAATAATACGCAATCTGAGGAGGGAAGTATTTTTTATGTAAAGAAAAAAGAGAAAAATTAAACAAACACATAGAATTCCTTGTACAAAGCCGACTTTATAAATAAAAACATAGAAATGGTATATATTATACACATAAAAATCCATTTTATTCTGACTACTTATTATAAAACGTGTAAAAGAATGTTGTGCAGAGTAGAACAAATGCTGCCGTTCGATCACCAGATTGCAAATATGTCTCTGTATAAATATATCGAAAAGAAACATAGTCGTTTGACAAATTGTCTGTAGCTTAAAATAGCGTTTGTCCCGTAAGTTAAAACGCGTAAGGGAAACGTACAGACAATAATAGAGCAAGCGGCAAAAAGACAAGAAAAAAAAAAAAACAAAAAAAAAAGAATAAAACAATATTTTGTATACAATATCGTGTTGTTATAAATAAACGCGCGTATCTTTTCCTTGTGCGATAAAAAACGACGAGAAAAACCGGTTGTTGATTCTAACAGATGGAAGAGTAGGTGTTAAGCAGAACACACCATTTTTCCTCAATGCCAAGTCGCAACCGAGCATCACACGACGATTTTCATAAATTAGATATTAATAAATAGATATTCCGTTTTTGCGTCAACAATCTGAGAGGGAGAGAAAAATCAAGAAAAAAAGCATCGCGTGATGCCGCAGACTTTACTTGACAGTTATATGCACAGAGGTATGTTCCTTCTGTTTATTTACTTCGTTGAAGATTGATCGCGTTCAGCAGAATGCAATCGCGTTATGCAACGAGTTGTAATGTTGTTTTTATCGTATACAGCTGAAAATTATAAAAAGTTGTGCAACCATTGCGTTTTGTTGGGACGCGATTAGCGACTTCGAAAATAACGATCGCACATAATGACGATAATTGTAGTGAATTTCAACGCGAGTCGTAAATCTTATGACAATGAGAAGATACGGCGCGTCAATTGCGCAATAGATCACGCGACGTGTGTGTGTGTGTGTGTGTGTCTAGATAAAATCATGCTTTTATTATCTGTTAAACAAGATTGTCGAAAGCAGCATAATAGTCAAAAAATATTTTGACGTAGATCTCACTACGTGTGCGTGAGATGTTATTTTGTAATATATGTGTAATAAAGTGTACAGAGAGAGAAAGAGAGAGAGAGAGAGAAAGAGACGAAAGAGAGAGAGAGAGAGAGAGAGAGAGAGAGAGAAAGAGAGAGAGAGAGAGAGAGAGAGAGAGCAAAAACGTCCGCGAGGCCTTTCTTTTTCAACAGTTGGTTAAGCAAAAATATAAAGTAAACATTATTGGAAAAAATGATATAGGATTAATATATAAGAGAAATAAATGTCAGATAAGATTTTTGTTTTCCAGTGCGTCATTCTCGCTTTTATTTGACACTTTTCCGTTTTCACTTCTCAGATGTTTTTTACACGTTGTAAATATAAGTAATATGTATAAATTACATATCACACTCTTTACACATCTCTCTTTTTCTGATTAGATTTCATTAAAAAAATGCATATGTACAAACATATAAATTGTGAATTACATCAACTTTGTAGCTTTCATATACAAACGTTTGTTTTCTTAATTTCTTCAACATCCATTGAAACTTTGGTTTTTTATTTTTTATTTTTTTTTTTATTTTTTTTTTGTTTTTCAACTTGTTAATAATTGTCTTACTTTGTTACTATGTGAGTATTAACGACATTTAAATAGTCATAATTTGTTATTTGAACAAATCACAGGTGTTTGCTTTATTACTCTGACAGGAATATAATCGTGTGTCGATGTGACAACGCAATCTTGAAAATGCATGCTTGAGAGAGCTTGCTTTTTTTTCTTTCACTGCAGTGCTAAAGTAACCGTGTAATTGTGTAGTTTACAATTGCAATATACGCAAATAAATGTACATAAAATGTAATATCTTTTTTGCGACTTTAAACGCATGTAATATCAGTGTAATAAGAAGTGTTGAATTTTTTATATATTGCAAATCCTTGTAACACACGTACCTATTTACACTGCGAGGTTGGGGGAAGTAAATAAAAACCAAGATACAACGTCGTATCTCGTCTCTCTTTAATACTACAAAATATAAATAAGTAATAATATATGTATATGCATATATACACACATATATAATTTATATGTATATATATATATAACGGAGTACAAAAATATTAATCGAAATATTGTTTAATGCATATCAAGATCAGCAATCGATAAATCTTTTGCATCAATTTCTCGATGTTAAACATTGTTTGTCGTTTGGTTGAAAATTAATATGTTGCACGTGTGATCATCTTACCATTAGCTAACCGTCTTAAACTTTAGCTTTAACAAAACACACACAAAATCTTAATTCGACGCGCGGCAACCAGCATATATTACATATTTATACAAGAAAACATATATAATACATACGGCAGGAAGATGTACGCGACAATATTAAGTAGGCACGTCGCACAAAAGCAAAAATTGCTTTTAAAACAGCAATTGCGATGAAGTTTGTTCGTCTGTGCTGCATCAGTACGAAATTTATTTACTGCAATTTCACTTCCTCCTTCACTTTCCACTTAACCAATTCCATACAAGCAACAGCGTCCTCGTTACTATCATGACCATTGACTGAAATAGAAAAATTATTATTAGATGATGCGCACGGTATTTATTCTCTTTTTTTTTTTTTTCCGTTCGCTCTACATTCAAGGAATTGAACTCACTGTCATTTTGTATGATTTTCTTGAGGTATTCGGAACAAAGATTTTTCAAAGCTCGTTTCTGGGGATATCCGTTTTTGTGGGGGAACATAACGCTAGTATCCACAACAGTGTCGTGGAGCAGCTTCAAAGCTTTGAAATCGCTCTCGAGGCTGTGACCCACCAAAATTGTCTTGTCCGAGAACATCGTAAGAAGCGTAGCTTGCACGTCTAAAATAGTCGTCGTTACGTCCTTCATATCTTCTTCCGTAATCCCAGAAAACCTGTTACGGTAAATTACAAACCGGGAAATTACTCAGCACGTATATAAATAAATTATATTATGATAGATTTCCTTTTTTTTTTGTCACAATGACATATATGCGCACATGTATCTATTAAAGACTTCAACCTTACCTTGTATTGTAATCGATTATTGAATTCTGTGGTTTGACTAACGTTTCATATATCACCTTACAATCCTCGTCGATTACCGTTACTCTAGTTAATTCCAAACCTTGTGTAGTATAACACATCTCACAGTCGAGCGCGTAGATACCTTGCTCGTCCGTAGGAATACCTTTGCATAAAACACGGAAAATTAAAAACAACATGTACAATAAAACAAAATATATCCGTATATAGAAGAACAAAAAAAATGTGTAAGTAGAAGAAAAATATCTTACTTTTTGACAAAGTTGTAACGTAACCGCGAAGATTTTCATAGTCTACATAATCCCACACGTGAGTTTTGGCATCGCAACAACCAGAAGCAGATCCGAACTGTTGGCAGCAACTGTACTTGCTCTCGCCTCTAAAGGTGAACTTTCTTCCCCAGTGAAATATACAATTTTGTTGTAGTACAGCAAAACCGTGCTTGTTGACCATATACGTTTGGCCACATCGGCTGCATATTCTTTCGTTAGGCACTTTAGATAACACACCTTCGTTCCGCGCATTTCTTATGTAAATCTTTGCTCGCCCCTGCAAGACGTGTATAATAAAAAAAAAAAATAAAAACTATAACGCTATAATACTTTGTTGAAAGAAATTTTTGACAAGTTTCTTTTGCGACTTACCTTTGTGCCATCTGGATGTTTACGGGGAAAGCCATTATCTCTGAGTTGTGTCTCCGATAGGATCCATTTTTTGAGTATGTTGTAAAACGCAGATCCTTTAATGTCTACTAAATTTCTTTTGTTCTTGATCACACTCCAAGAACCCTTTGATTTACCAGCAAGCACAGCTTCGTGAGACATCATGCCGTAATTGAGTCCGCTGGATTTTTCGTCCGGATTTTTGTTCTGATCTACTTCTTTCTTTAGTTTGTGAATTGCCAACATACATGAATTCTTATAAACTGCGAGTGCCTTACACTTCTCGTGGCACGCAAATTCTTCCTTAACGGCTCGTTGTGACGCGTCGTCGCCGTTTGTGTAGATTTGCACGCATACGTCGTGCATCAAATTGAGATAATACTGACGAACATTTATAGGAAACTTCTGGGTTGCGCCTTGGAGCGGTTCTGAGCGTATAAGTTGAGGCATCTGCACGAATTAAATATCTCACTTGTATTAAATGATGAACAAATTTATACGTTTGGTTAGGTTAATTTTTGAAATAAAATAATAGATAATAAAGAACAATAGTTAATAAAATATTTTGTAACATCTTAAAACTTACCGTTTGTGGAATATGAGCAACACGCGCACGCTTCGTAGTTTGTGCAACTGTTTTGTTTTCTATTTTATTATCCGCAGTTTTTACCACTGTCTCTGTAACTTTCTTTTTTTCCAGTGCAAGTGACTTTGCATACGGAACATGAGCGATCCTAACGCGACCTGTGATACATTAACGTTTTTATAACACTTAATAAAATATAAGAGCAAAAAGTTAAAAAAAATTTAAAAAGTCATTAAAATATCATTAGAGATGATAGAAGGACGATTGGAACCAAGGTGGAATGTAATAAACAATAATATATATCAATATTCCAAACGTTTCGGCTATATATTTAAGTTCCATCTTCAGTGGAATCCTAATGAAGTATTAAACGTGAGGTCACTCTCTTTTATACTTCATCATTAAATTATTAAAACTTTTTTTTATTAAAAAAAATTACTGCCTACACAGCAGCAAAAAAAACCTAATTAGCCTAATTAGCAAATCAAATTTCGACAAAAAAACGCACCGTGTAGCGCTAGCTTAATGACTGATTTGATGAAAAAACCTTACCATTTGTGTTCGACTGAACGTCATTATTGCTTATCGACGATGTGATTTCTGTATATTCTTTTCGCGCAGTACTCGGAACATGAACTGCTGATGCGGATGTAACTTGAGACGGGTGTGTACTTGCATTAGCCGCAGCCTTTTCTGCAGCCATTTCGGCTGCTTGTGTTTTCATGAAACGCCACCGCTCATACATTCTCAGTTGTGGATTTATGACCTTTTTTTGTGGCTGACTAGAACCTACATTTCTAGTGACGTTCGTGGCCGCTGAGGGATGAGCAATCCTTTTTTTGCCGATTTCTTCTGTATCCTCGGCTTCCTGTCTTTCTTTTTTGAGTGATACTAGTTTTGATTGGTCACAAGGCTGGTATTCCTTCAAAATAAAACAGTAATATACAATTTTTTTCTAATATATATTAGGTTAAACATATATTTAGTAGTATTTTTATTAATTTTAGTGAAACATATATGTGTACGCGCGCGCGCGCGTGTGTGTGTATATGTATGTGTGTGAGTGAAATAAGCAAAATATTTTTAAAACGAATCTATGATTAACTAAAAAATAATATAATAAATTTTTAATTAATTTTTTTAATTTAATAAATATTTACACTCTATACACAAACATCTTGTATCTTCCTCGCATTGGCCTATTCTATACGTTTAAAAAATAATACTGTAATTGATATTTGGCAAATATAAATAAACACACGTGTTTGCATATACATAAAATGCAATATATATATATATATATATATATATGCAATATAATATATATATATATATATATATATATACAAAAGTGAATACACTGTATATTTACTACGCGTATATACGTATTAATTGGTATTTTTACAATTAATTGAACACCTTAGAAATATATAGAAATATCAAAGTCCCAAAAGGGGTTTTTGCGACGGTCTAAAGGTTAATAACGTAATAAATACATAGGCTAATCATATAAATCACGTACCTGGAAAATTTTCAAGCATTCTTCTTGTATATCATGATCAGAATCCGATAATCCCAACATCTCGTCGTCTATCAGAGAATAAATACTGCTTGGAGAACCATCGGACGATCTATCGGATGATTTGTCCTCGCTGTTGCTTTCTTTGCGTTTGCTGGATTTTTTAAAAAAATCATCGGATTTTTGACTCGATTCCGAGTGATACTTTCTGTCGCTTTTGCTCGACGTGTGTTTACTCGACTTAGAACTTGAGCTTGATCTATGTTTGTCGCGCTGGCTAGATTTGTGATCATTTCGATCTTTTTTCGAAGACGCGTGCCTGTGTTTTCGCGAGTCCGAATGTTCCCTGCTTCTATGTGAGGACTTGTCACGGTCGCTTTTCTTTCTATCTTTGTCTTTGCTCGAAGATGATCGATGTCTGTCTTTCGAATCTGATTTATGTCTGGACTTTTCTTTGTCTCTTCTCTCAGAACTGTGACGATCTTTCCTATCCCTTTCTCTGCTTTTACTGTGACTGTCGCGTTTTTCTTTTTTCTTATCGGTACTTTTATTTGTACTATCCTTTTTTCTTTCTGACGATTTATCCGCATCCTTTGTTTCATGTTGTTTAGACTTATCATTACTTTCTGCATCACTTGTCTTATCATAATGATTGTTATTTATTGTATTATCTTTATTGTTTGATTGTTTATTTACAGTTGTAGTTGATGCGCATTGCAAATTTTCCTTCTCTTTCTCAGTTTTATCTTCTATTTGTTCAGTCTTTTTGATAGTTGTGTCATCTTTATTCTTGGATATGTCTTCAATAGATTCATCATCAGAAAACTTAGGTTCAATGTCCAAAGAGTATTCCTGAGAATCGTTGCTTAATTCTTGTTCCAAGGAATTAGAAGCAATATTGGCAGCAAAGACCTCATCCATTATGTCAAACGTATCTGATTTGTATCCATCCAGTGTGGAATCATTTAATTGCTGAACCGTCTTCAACGGCGCTTTAACTTTTTTAGGAACATATTCTTCTCTTCTCTTTTTAGATTTTGGATGATACTCTTCTTTAGGTTTAAACAGATTGTTTGAACCGCCTTCAAACGAGTTTGAAGATGCGTCCGATTGCAATACAGACATATAATTGTTTCCGGCATTCTGATCGATCTGATTAACTATGGCAGTAGGTTTGTATGTAACTTCTGGCTGAGAATTTTCAAATTCATGAACAATGCTTAACCACGGTTTAATGCCTTCCGGCGAGGGTTTGCGTTTGACAGCCACTCTACTCTCTCTGGTAAGCATATACGAAACCACCGGTATGTGACGTTTCTTTAATTCAGCTATTGGTGTTGGGTTATAGACACAAGCATTTGGTTTTGTAATAGTTGCGGGCAATGCGATATTTCTTCCAACTATATTTGGCAAAACATTATGCACAGAAGCAATGGAGTTAGAAGCTAAGGTTGGCTTGAGTCCTTCCACTACTTGAGACACAATATTCTGTGAAACTTGCTCTGTATCTGTAACCTTTTGATCCGCCAATACCTTCTTTACAGCTTCTGACACTAACTGTTGCAGCATGTCAGGATTTGAGGCCACATCGGCAGATTTGCTTTCTTGCGCTTGTCCCGTTGCCTGATCCTCCACCACTCCAGCCACTCCTGCTGTGCTTCCAGCATCTTCTATGTAAATATAATCAATCTTATATTTGTATATCATTGATTACTAGTATATAATTTATTACAATATTTAGATCGAATTTTTTATAGAAAAATAGTAAAAACCCTGCTGTGTATATAACGCATCTTATCAAGATGTATTGCAAGTTTTCAAACATTGTTCCTCCTCGTGTAATCAATTATCAATCAGACAAAGAACAAAGAAGAACAAAAACCATTTTGTCTCGACAATATTAACTCACAATCAACTAACAACCAGTAAACTCTAGATGTTTAAAAACACGCAACAATCCTGTTTACAAATTTTGTTCATTTGCGAAAGTTTTCTTATTATGAACTATTTTTTGTAAAGAAGTACCGCGTGTATCGTGAAAAAAAAACTCAGCGATTGATAAATACCCTTACCTCGTCTAGCATGTTTGAAGTGACAATAAGGCCGATCGCACGATCCACTGTCATAAAACGGGCAATTTATCGTCTTAAAGTACCCGGTCGACGGCAACATAATAAATAATTCATCGTACTCCGTCCTACAAAAGAGATGTTTCTCGCGACGAATGTGTCCGTGTGATGCTCGAGGACGATTACACGATTATCGCACGCTGATCAAGATCTGAAGCATTGACAATCCGATATAACACATTAATTAATCATGTCATGGGTTCAGTCATCGATCTGTCACGTGTGGAAAGAAAAAAAAATTGATACAAGCGAAACTCCGAACGATTTTTCCTAAATTTTTGTGGTCCTGTACAGTGTTCCGTGTGTGTGTATGTGATCGAGGTTATGTTACACCGTCGAATCATGATATGTACAAACTCGAGAACGGCAACCTTATTTTCATACGACCAAAATCGATTGTTCGATACGCCCTCTAGATTATTCGAAAAAAGTAAAATTTTCTTTGCTCTTCGCGATCGCGTTACTCTGACCATTTTACAATGCATTTAAATTGCGCGACCGAGAGATGTAAAACTATATAAAAATAAATATATAATATAATAAATAATATATTACGCGAATAATTATTTTTTAATAATAAGTAATTTTACATCACTGCGACGGGCGATTGATAAATATTCGAAAGACAGATGCGCATAGCGTTTTCGACTGATTAAATCTAAAGGGACTCTAATTAAATCGTCCGAAATAAATTAAATGACGTCACTTCGCAAATTTATACGAGACACAGCGAGAGCGAAAACCGACCCTGATCGGAGAATGTTCTGCCGCTTAGTAGTCGACAGCTGCGTTCGGCGATGGAACTTTCGAAGATGTCAGAGGTGTAAAATCAAAAACAAGCTATTCGATCTATCGCGTATTGGTCGAATACGCAGATTTCCGAGATAAGAGAACACTTCAAAGCCTTCGATTTTCAAACGCAGTAAATATTTGAAATTTTAAAAATTAAACGACCGTATTCGACAGAACACATAGAGTTGCAAAAAACGGAGTAGAATGAATTCTTATAACGAGAGATTTGTAGTATCGTGCGTACGTTATATATCGTTGAATTCTCACGTTGTTTTTATTTTTATATTACATTTTATTTACTCTCCTTTATTATTGCCGTTTTATTTTTTAAATGCGTATTTGTGTTATTGGCTATTTATTTATTTAATATTATTTTTCACATAAACTGGTTGTGTTTTTCAGTATACGTGTATATAGTCGGAATTTAAATTGGAGAAAAGTAAAAAAGAGATATATGTACTAACGTGGAAATCACGCTGCGATTTATACAAAAAAGAGAGAGAGAGAGAGAGATAGAGAGAAATGGAGTATATTATCTATTGCACAACAGTATTGGCGATATCCGTTAGTCTTTTCTACATATACGCCAAGTACAAACTGTCTTATTGGAGAAAACGTGGAGTCAAGACTCCGCCCACGCATTTAATTTTCGGAAATTTCAAAGACGTCGTAACGTTAAAAAAACGCCCAGCTGAAGTACTCTGCGATATTTACAACAATGCCGATCCAAACGATCCGTATATAGGTTTTTACATCTTTCACAAGCCTATGTTACTTCTGCGGGATCCCGATTTGATCAAGAGGATAATGATCACGGACTTCGATATTTTTCCGAATCGACGATTTGGCTCGCGCGATCAGAAAGACGTAACGGATCTGGAGAGCTTACTGGCTATGCAGCAGCCAAAATGGAAATACGTCAGGAGCAAACTGACATCAGCTTTCACCGGTCAAAAACTAAAGATCATAACACCGAGCATCGTAGAATGCGGAAAACTCATGTTAAATTATATCGACAACTTACCGACGGGCGTAGGTGTCGAGCCGAAAGACATGAGCAGCCGCTACATAGTCGATATTTTGAACTCCTATGCGTTTGGTATCGCCACAAATTCATTCGATGAGAAAACAAACGTGTTGTGGAAAGATTGTAGGTGTTTTTGACAAATTTTTTATTTAACGCAGAAACTATAAACAAAATTCTTCTTCTGTAAACAACTAACGTTTTTTTCTTACAAATTTTTCTGCTTCTTACGTTTAAAAAACTTTTAATTAGTAAATATAATTTTTGTGTCAATTTTTTTTATTATGTCAATTTACAGGTGTGAAACTTTTTTGCGATCTGCAAGCTATTCTGACTTTCTTAATCTTTTTTTTTATTCCTGAATGGAGCCATCTAATCAGACCGTTGAAAAAACGGACCTTGGAAAACCTCAAGTCAGTTTTCTGGAATTCCATAAGTGCTAGAGAAAAAACAGGAAGCAAGAGAGGAGACTTCATCGATGTTCTTTTAACGCTCAAGAATGGAGAACAAAACCCTATTTACAGTAAAAATCATTCAACTTTTAAAACAATTTGAATAGTAGCAATACAGTAGTGGTACTTGGTATATTGCAAGTTGTAATTAATATAGCAAGTAATATATAGACATATAATATACAGCACAAATTAATTTCTTCAATCACAACTTTAAATTAAATTTCCTTATGTTAATATTTTTTTCATGTTCAGAACGCAATGTATATGTATACTTACATGTGTTATCTTCTCGTTGTAACAGAGTTCGAGGGAAGCAATTTACTCGCACACCCGATCAGTGTTATGGTTGCTGGATTCGAGGCGACTACTGATGCGCTTGCGTTTTGTCTGTACGAATTGGCACGTCACCCGGATCATCAAGACACTTTATACAACGAAATACAGACATACGTATCGAACAAAGAATTGACTCTGGATGTGATTAATGAAATGCCCTTCTTAGATTCTCTTGTGATCGAAATACTAAGATTATATCCTCCCCTACCCATGACCGATAGAATAGCTACGAGAGACTACAAAGTAATCAACGAAATTTTACAGAGACAGATCATTACAGACTATTACTTCTGCAACCCCGTGTTGTGTATGTTTTTGTTTTCAGATAGAGAACACCGGATTGATAATTGAAAAGGGTGTTGCGGTTTACATGTCTGCAAATTCGATCAATCAAGATCCGAAATATTTCTCCGATCCGCAAAACTTCATCCCAACGAGAGAGTACGAGAACAAAAAATTTCACGAATCGTTGCCATTTGGTATTGGACCTAGGTCGTGCATAGGTCGGTTATAAAAAAAAGCATCATAAAATAAGTCATAAATTTATCTTCTGTTCTATAATTCATAATTGTGTGCAAAGTAAAACATAAATTTGTTTGACAATTTTTTATGTATTTTCAGGACAGAAAATGGCCATAATAATGACAAAAATTGGACTAATCACGATCATATCGCAGTATATACTCAGCTATAAACAACCGAATGAGGATATAAAAAGCATACACACATTCACGAACGTGCCTGATAAATTTCGGTTGCTATTCCAGAAACGTGATAATCGATCATAAAAATAATCTAAGCGCTTCAAAGGACATCGTGCAAATATATACATGTAAGAAGGGAATGGGTGAGAAAAAAAAATGATAATTTTCACTATTACATTCATGTACTCGGGTAAAGACCGCTCGATATGTTCAAACAACTTACGAGAATTTTCACGTCTACGACGAAATAAATTTATTGATAAAACTATAGATCTCATTACGCGTTTAATAAAAAATGATTTTCTTATAGCTTAGTAGATAACATACTATCACTGAAGCGAAGGATATTAACTTCTCAAGCATTGCGACATGTCGATCCTCATTGCAAAGTACGGTTTTAGCACAGCGTATCATGATCGAAAGACATATATATTTTATAAATATACTATAACAGAACATTATACAAAACAACAAGCGTTTCGGCGGTCGCCGTTATTGACTCGATTTTTCTCTTTTGTGTGTGTGTGTGTATATGTACGTATATGTGTATATATACACACGTAAATACATATGTGCAAACACATATATATACATGTACACACATATATATACACGTACACACATATACAGTGTATACTAACAACAATATATATTATATGTGTTAACATAAGTTTTAACGTCATTTTAAATATAGCTAATTAACTACTAACGATTATCTTACATTGCTGTGTCGTATTTTCTCGTTTTACGATAGTAAAAAAATTTGCTAGTTTGGTAGATAAAAAGGTACGAACATTCATTGTACATCGTTCACCGATTGACTTTCTTGTGCGCTTTCATTTTCCGCCTGCGTAAAATGAGGTAGTTCAGCTTTTGTAGCCAACTCCAACGCATGCATCCACCTATATAAAAAATATATAGGAAATGTTATTTATAACATTTAAGAAACTTGATAAATAAACACAATTTTTCTACACCTACTTTTTTTTGTCCTCTTGAGAAGATGCTTGGAGATAGTAATATTTCCTAGAATGATGCATCTTGAACGCTCTTATTCGATCTTTCGTGTTCAGGGGATCCTCGTCAGGTAATTTTGTACCTTCGGTCACCATAAAGCCCGGCATGGGTGTCGCTGTCATAGCCATGCTTTCCGATTCCGATTTGAACGAGTATAAAACAAAATCAACGTGCAACGCAAACCATCGTCTCGTCCAAGGTTTACTGGCCTGCGTTTTCAGTAGGAGATATCCGGATAATACTGAAGGCGCGCGCGCCGATACTTGCAGCAAACTTGGCACTGGTCCAGATGGTGACGATGGTGATTTAGTGAGCGGTTGAGTGAGCGCGGCGTGACATAATCTGCACACTCTCATGTTCTTATTGTCTTCAAACAGTAATTTCTGATTTGAGCATTTACTGCAGATCACCTAAGGAAAGATAAAACGCGTTAACGCACATTATGTAATTACTGAGTTTTTGAGAATTAATTTCAATGCAATATACTAACTATTCCACATGCCCGGCAGTTGTGTTTGCGCTTCATCACAGAAAAACTAACTTCACAATCCATGCATCTGGTTACATCATCGGCCTTAACCAGGGAAGTTTTGACACTGCCAGTTTTCAAACTTGCTTTGCGTCTCATGATCTCCTGCATCGTTTGGAACAGCGCGTCCAACCACGCCGCTTTCTCAGCTGCGGCATGTGTATACAGTTCGACGCTTTTGTTTTCGTCTCTTATGTAAAAAGTATTCGCGGTTTCTAGATTATCGCCTTCAACTACTTGTAAATTTTCTACCATAAATTTGGCTCTTAGTCGGTACATTGGACCGGGTATCAGTCTTATTGAACAGAGTAATAATAAATCACTAAACTGCAAAAAAATGACTCGTTAGTAACATTGTCTTACCATGTGAATGATAAATAACACGCAATTGATTGATAATTACTAAAAACAAATGTCTCTCCTGATGATCACCACTACGCGCTGAAATTTTCACTATACGTCCTTCCTTTACTAGTTCGCGAGTCGCACTGACTAGATCAGTCGCATCATATATGCTTTCTTGGATTTCCAAAAGTTTCTTAAATTTATCGATTTTCTTCATCGCTTCGTTCGTGTGATTCGCAGCGGTGGAAACTAATTCGAGGGCTTCTAAAATTTTGGACGTTACGTTACGTAATGTTTTTTTCTTAAAATTATCATCGTTACCAATACACAAATATAGAGAACATGCAATTTCCGAAAACGAAAACCCGTGTGTATATAAATAAAACGCATAACAAACGGTGAATATAAAAACTTGCTTACTTCGCGTGTCCTCGTAATCCAAATTGTCATCTGTGAGATTTCGCAAATAATCTTTGAGAAGCAACTCGTATCGCGGGAGCCTCTGTATCGGGCTCAACATATGATGAGACAGTGTTAATTTGCCGCATTCGTCGAGTTTCTGAATTTCATTAACTATTGCCGCGAATCTGGGAACTTTGTTTTGCAATGTGTTTATCAGATTCATAGCGTGATCGAAATTCTTCACGTATTCCGTGTACATCTTGAGAAACGGCGCGAAGTTCTTCATTATGTCGCCAATTCTCGGATTCAAATCCCAACATTGCATTCTCTCTTCGAGTTGGGGCAATAAAAAATCGTTGTGAAATTTATAAATAGATTTGATATTTGAAAACATATGTTGGACAGTCTCCGGAGAGAACATTGGATGGGCTCTGTTTTCCTGATCTACTCTAAATTGAAACACCTGATCGATCAGATGCAATATGTTCACGTAATTCTTTTCGGTCGCCAACAACTCCTGCGCCACGCGAAACGCCTTCTTCTTCTTCGAGTCGGGTGAATCTTTCTTCACAATCAATTTAGGTTCCGGTGTAGACTCGTCTGTGTGATCAGCAATTATAGCCGAGTCGGTCTCCGAAGACCTTGTTTCGTCTGACTCCTCCTCACTTTCGGACTCACTTACCGCGTACGTATCTAATGTATACTGATGAGACCTCCTTTCCGAAGCTACGTAACTGCGTGTTTTTAAAAAGTTTTATTTTCCATTAAAGCATATATATTTGTTTTTATATATATTGATTTTTCTCACAAATCTCCACCTACCTGCTGCTTCTATACTCTAGGACGCTATGTGACATTTGAATAAAGGACGTTTCCGTTGAAGTTTCCTCGCGTCTCCTGATATCGATGCATTCGGCCGGCGTGGAAGCGGACATGACAAACGATTGAAATCGCGGGAATCCGCCAAAACTGGCGATCCTGTGGAAGGAATGTCTAACGTATTGCCGTTCCTCGACACCCGCCGACGACACGTCCGAATCCTGCGAGTTCCCATTTTCGCTGCTCGCGCTTTGCTGTTCCAACAAACACGGCGATTTTTTGGAATGTTCGTCCTCCCGCTGGGATTCATATTTATTCTCGTTCTCGGTGATGTCCAGATCCGTGTAAAACGTGCTGGTGGACGTGCTTGTGTTCTTCGAGCTGAACATCTTGAATCCCTCGATCATCCAACTATGACCGTCTCCAGGTTCTGGCAATAGACGCGTCATCCAGGATGAAAAGTCTCTCAACTGACTCCGTTGCATCCTACGATCATCGTGAGTTGCGGTGATAATTGCAGTCAATTATCGCGTACGAACAATCGGGACGCACAAAGAAGAGAAAAACTGCGAGCGCGCGTTTGAAGAACAGAACAAAACAAAACAATAAATAATAATAAGAGCGCACTGTTGTGAATATGCAACTTGACTTTTACACAAAAAAAAAAAAAAAAAAAACCTGGCGCGCATTCTCAATCGCGAACAAGTTATGAATGACAACTGTAACTCTTTCTTCGCTTCAAATCTTTTTATGACAACAAACAATAAAGAAATATAGTTCGTGTGTGTGTGTGCGCGTGTTATACACCGCGCTATCGCGAGATTGACTCATAAGTCCACTCGAAGAAGCTGAACTTTTTCAGGTCTCAATGATGATAAATAATAAACGCTGATGAATTAAATTACGTCGCGGGATTGATGAATCCCGTCAAAATTTCACGCCGCATATTTCCGCGACGCGAAAACATTGGACGAGAGAAAAGAAAGAAGATTATCGGCGCGGCCGGCGCGCCGAACGAATCCGACGTGTCGATGAGCGCGAGAGAAATGTGGTTTCGAAATATAAACTAGCGTGGCGCGATAGATCTCTCGGGGGAGGGGGAGGGGGGAAGAGAGGGGCTATTTAAAAACGCATCCTCCTCTCTTAGATCGATCCATTACGCTAAAATTAACGCGTGCCGGTCCGTTCCAGCGCGCGCGGGAGCGAAGCTTCGGCATCGCTAATTGACACTCGGCGTGCTCCGAGTTGAACGCGCGTGCATGCCTCCCGCGGATACACACGCGTAATAAATAGCTAACACACACACACACACACGATCGTTAGACGATATATAACGCGTGCTCGCGTGTTGCTCTCAAACAAACGCTCGCGCGTGAGAGCTTCTTATTTCCCATCATTTGTGACACGAGAAATTCTCAGATCCGATCCCTTTCTATCGCGCGCAACTATCTAAATCGACCTACTATGTGTGTAATCGAGCGATGAAACATTTTTCTAATGCGCGGGGTCTAAACAGCGGGACACAAAACAACATGGTGTTCTGTTTCTAGTCACAACCAAAAGTGGCGGCTCTTATCGGAAGTTTATATTTATAAAACAGCACGCACACACAGCCGCCGCAAAAGCGGTTCCGAAACGAAACGAAGAATGTCGCGCAAAATCCAAGTGTGTATGTGTGCGCGCACACACGTCGAATGTTTTCAACAATATCGCGTTAATTTATAAATTATAGTTTTACGCGCAATTGTTTCACAAGCCGGCAATCGAAATCGGGAAGAAGCAAAAGAACTGATAACAAATTAGACGGAGTAGATGGTTACAGTAGATAAATAGATATACACGCAAACACTTGTGGCAAAGTAAACAAACTCTAAGAAAAATTAATCTCCTAAATGCGACAAAGAAAGAAAAAAACACAGCGCAGTGTGTTGAAAAAAAAAACTGTGAGTTATTTTATCACGAAATTTATTCGAAACCTTGTGAAAGCCGATATTATGGCATTTGAAATAACAAATTATTTGTTTATTTATTTACAAGTTTTTTTGTGCGTATATATACGTGTTTCATTTTAAAAATCGATCGAGAAATTTGACGTTCGATTTCGATCGACTTCGCGACGTAAGTAGTATATCATTCTGAAAATATCACGTCAGCGTTGGGGGGCAAAGACTGGCAGGTGCATTACGTTTCGTCACAAGGTGCTTACTACGCCCTTCATTTCCGACCGGATCAGGTTGACCGGCGCGCGGCGACTGCTTTTCTCTAACACACACACACACACACACGCGCGCGCACGCACACATATACTTTTCGTGCTAGACGGTAAAGCTTGTAACAGCTTCTGGGAGCTAGACAGCGTGAGATAAAGATAGAAAAAGAAAGAGAGAGAGAATGTCTCGTCGTCAAACTCGAACTGTTCCAATTACCTCTTGCCTTTAGACCGGTTGTAGGATAGCGAGACAGCAACAGGCGTACGCGGATTGGCATAATCGGCATAATGATTGGCTTAGGCCAGCTTAGGGGGAATCGAGACGGGGCTAAGTGGCACAGACCGATATGTTTTTCCAAACTCAAACACCGACAAAATCAGCTACGTTCATGATCGCGGCAAGTACGACTGATTAACGGGCAAGCCAGCCGTACATCGGCGGCACTCTGCTGTCTGTGTGTGCGTGTACATATATATGTATGCGAGTAACAACGCGGTGATCGGCGATGCAAAAAATTGTCCCGTAATAGTCATCAAGACGACCGAGCGAAAATCAACGAGCGATTAGATAAAGAAACAAAACAAAGATCGCACGATGCCAATAATAACGAATATTAAATCTAATCACTCCGCGCACGAACACACACACACACGCGCGCACACACACAACACGTTACGCATCAAGGACGTTATCGCGCGCGCACTCCGGTTCATCCGTTTTCCGAAGTTGTTCGAATGATCAGGTACACTGTGTGCGCACAGGTTTGTCCGATCCAATACGCGTCGATACTCGGACACTCCGCGACACTAGCGACGCCAACGGAGCGACAACGCAGTTTTCGAAATTTATTTGCTTTGCCGTCGGTAAGCGAGAAATTTGCGTTTATCGTTCGACGGTAACATTTAACCAAGTTGGCGGTAACATCATCTCATCAATTTTCTGATTAACCGACCGATAATTTCATTAGAATCGACCAATCGCATTATGTGGTCACATCAGACATCCGCCGAAATGTGCAAACAAATCCGAGCACCGCTGCGGAAAAAAAAATCGTCCCCAAAAAGTATCTTCTTGACCAGATGTATAATTTATTACCAAGTATCGCTTCTTGTTGATGCAATCAACGCAATTTACGAGAGAAGTAATGTAAAAAAAATATTTGCGTTATTTGCGCGAAAACAATTAAGGCATTCGAGTATGAGTATAGGATTTTGGGATATTTTTTTGTAAATCAACAAAGTTGTGGAAGATTCTACCGTTGTAATTTTAAATATATCTGGTGCCACTAACTATATTAAAAATAAGTAGGTAATTAAAAATATTGTACAAATGTATTTTTTTTATAATCACATGAGATCTTTGTGATTTTTCCTTACATCGTAAGATATATCCCTAATATGTTTTTAAGATCTCTTGTTTTTAGTGGATATTTTAAAATTGTGCTGTTTTTTTTTTAAATTGTGATATTTATCAGCGCTAATTAATTTACAATAAAAATATAAAGTAAATTATGTATATATATGACATATGTTGATTTTATAAAAAATAAGTAAGATATTTAATTTGATAAAAGAGAAAGATTAAAATATAAGTACATTATCTGATAAAAATGTTACAATAACAAATACTGGTCAAAGATATATTTGCATTTGTTATATTTGTACACAATTTGCAACACTATATATATTACAGTAAAAGCATAGAATCTATTGACTCATTGAATGTACATGTGGATATGGATTTACTCGTGTAAAAATATAAATAGGTACATTTACTAGACTTATTTGCTTTTGTTGTAATATATATATATTCAAAATTATTAAAAAAAGAACATAAATAATAATTTATTATCTATCTGCGATTACATTAATCAAACATGCTAAAACGCTAAGATATTCGGTTTGTTGAAAAAACTATTTCATTGTCAAGTATTAACAATCACAATTATTATTATTTACAAAAAATACTTGAAAATATGTACATACATACAATATTATTAAATAGTTCAAATATGAATATATATATATATATAAATAGAGATGTGCAGAGAATAGATTAAGAGGATCATATCTGCCATTATTATAGAAATTTAACGGTGATGTGTGTGTTTAAAATAATACTTATTTTGAGTATTAAAAATATTAATGAACAGTGTATTTTACATTTCTAAAAGTTGTTATTATCAATATTCTTATTTTATTTATTATAATTTGTTTTTTTTTGTTATCACATGCTTTTCTTGTAAACGATATTTTCCGTGATCAAGCGCCATTAAACTGTTAAACGTTGCACTTTTTTAGTTTTTCTTATATTGTTTCATCTTAAAGAAACTACTATAAAAAAAGAAACTAACTAGCGTTTGAAAAACGTTTAGCAAAAATTTGGCTATAGCTTACGTACTATAAATGCGTGCGAATATTATTTTTAACGTTATATTATTGTAAAATAATTCTTAGCGTTGCCTTGAATTTCGCATGTTTGAAGACACAAGTAATTGACTAATTATTTGATATTGTCCGAGACTTTGCGTTGTGTAACGTTGTGACATGAAAACCGGCGAATTGCGTAATTAAATAAGATATGTACAATAAGAGAGGTGGCGATGAGAAACAACAACAATCGGTGTTTGCTTTGGAAATACGTATTTAAAATGCCACTTTTTTTAAATCGCTGCTGGTTTAATTGAGCCGCAATTGCGTCGCAATTTTACAATTACACAATTAGCATTCATCACGATTCCTCTCAAACGTTGTGACCTCTAAAATAAAAAAAATACAAAATTCTCAGCAATGGCATTCGTTTGTTCACAAAGCTCTGTCCACGATCACTTTATACAAATAAAACACACGTTGGTTTTTTTGTATATGTTTATATATATATGCTGGTATATATTATTTATATATATGTTTATATATACATATAGACATATATATATATATATACGCATACATATATATATATATATATATACAGGGTGTCCGACAATTACTTTAACCTTTTTTTTTTCATATTATTGGATTTTCCAAAGAGAGCCAGAGGAGGTGACACCTCTCCATTTTCACTTTAATTACTTTAACATCTCTCGTAGGCAAGTAGAAGGAGTAAAACTGAGTCGAAAAGTCCTGAACCATTTTTTTCTATTACATATAATAAAGGAGTAATTATTGAGTAAATCAGGCCAATCAGCGCCGACCTTTAGCCAGGCGCACGTCAGTGAGCCACGCGCTTGGTGTGTGTGAGCACTCCGCGCGTCTCACTGACGTGCGCCTGGCTAAAGGTCGGCGCTGATTGGCCTGATTTACTCAATAATTACTCCTTTATTATATGTAATAGAAAAAAATGGTTCAGGACTTTTCGACTCAGTTTTACTTCTTCTACCTGCCTACAAGAGATGTTAAAGTAATTGTCGGACACTCTGTACATGTGCGTGTGAGCGATTGATAAACATCCGATTTTTTGTCCTGAGACACACACGCAGTGTAAATTGACCCTTATTTTAAAGTCTGTAAGTTGTATATAATCGATCCTATTTGCATTTAATTCTAATAATAAATTCGAAATACTAGACTGTAAATAAAAACGATTGTAACTTTATGTCCGTGTTTTAAATCATATTAAAACTGATAAGCCTTGGAAATAAACGTGACACGAAAAATGATATGAAATTCAAGATTTAGAGGCAATTTGATCCCATATTTTAGAGATAAATACTATGAAACGGCTTCTCTCTAAAAATATGTTCTTTGCCACTAAATCGACTAGTCTGGTGATCTGTCCGCACGAGAAAGACCTGTGCACGCGTACTAAAAAAAATTGTGCTTCACAAAGTAAAGACGCAATCATCAACTTTTATTAAACAACTTTTATTTCGCATTCGTATATTTTCATATTAAAAAAAGTATCACAACAAGTATCTTTTAAAATTGTGTATATTAATATCTAATTTTCTTTGATCGTATCTCGTCTTCTGTTTTGTGTCTGGCCATTGTCTCTTGCGACTTTTTGTTTCTCGAATACGGTCACACATTGAATAGGTAAACGTCATGAAAACGGGAATTTTCTTGCCGATGCGAGCGTTTAATGATTCTTGTGTTTTTAAGACCTTTATCTTATTAAGACAATCCGTATGTTCATAGACGTGATTCAAATTAAAATATTGATCTTCTAAATCAATCACGAGTACGAATGTGGATCTACAAGCTTCTCGTGCGCTATTATTTTGATGTAAATTAAAACAAAAAACTTATATATATATATATATATATATGCACGTATATATATATATATATATCAGATTTATTACTCGGTGCAGTAAGGTCGATTAATTTTGTCCATGAAGAAGAAAGCCAACGCTAGGAGTAACGATCCGCTGAGATCGCCCAGTGCTGTCAAATACGGAATTGCCGAGTTATCAGGATCAATTTTGAACCTCCACATCGCGTGAATAATTATGTGCGCGACGTACAACAAAATCATTACCTGAAATAAGATAAAGTTTTTGTTTTTGTAGTGTCTTTTTACAATTTTCTCTCGTGCGAGATTTAAAACGAAACAAATAAATTATGCGACATTTTACCTGGACTACGGAAACGATTATGTAGGAAAGTACAAAATACACGTGTAGTGTACAATTGCCTGGATTCAACGCATCGGCAATAAAGACGAAGACCAATTGACCAGGAATCGCCAAGGCGACTAGCAATCTGGCGACCTTAGCATACGGCGCTGTTTGTAAAGAGAGAAAATAAAGTTGAAAATTTTAGAACACAAATGCATAATAAATATTTTCATTAAAGACATATTATTTACAGATTGAAAAAGTATTTAGAAATTTATTTTGTTCTCTAAATAAAAAAAAAAAAAACAAGCAAAGATAAGATGACAATTTTAAAGAAAAATTTCTCAAAGAAATACATTTTTTCAAAATCAAATTGCGTCAAAAAAAATTTCATGTACGTACATCCAACAAAAAGCGCTGTCCACGGAAACACCCAAATTTTGCCATGCGGCGGCAAAATTCCCATAATAGATGACTGATGTAACATGGTTGACATTCGAGATGCGTGCACCGACACCAGGTTGCCGCCAATTCCGTTAATAACCGGTTGAAATACTTCCGGTCCTTCGTACATGTCGATCATTTTTTCGAGCACCAGTCCGCCCCCGCTGAAGATAAAACACAATAACACTTTAAGCGAATAAATTAAAAAATATAATCACACAGACAAGGTAATGGGCTAAATAAATGATAAATAATCAAGCAATATACACAAGTGTAAAAAATTTTGTTTATTATTAATTACTCGCATTTAACGAATTCGATTGGGTCGATAACGACGAAGCGCGAACTAAAGAGTCAAAATTATTTTGAACAAACTTACCCGCTAATCAAAAGCGCTGACAGAATCGGAACCCAGCCAGATTTCAATACACTTCTCGTGTACTTGTTCTTCAATACGATCAAAATCCAAACTGGCAAGAGCACTACGAAGATCGCGAGAACGACGTATAACACCCATATTTCGTTGTTAAGCTTCAAAAAGAATTGCGATGCGATCACGGAGAGTATACTGATGGATACAACATCACCGATGGACGCAGCCAATGGAGTCGCCACATTATCTGGGTTCATCTTGTATCGATAAGATATCATGATTACGGCGATCATGACAAAATCTATAAAGTTTTATTACGTACGATTTAAAAAATACAATAATAATTTTAAGTATAATTTTTAAATTATTTTCAAAGATTGATTGCCAAATTTATACAACGTGTTAATCGAAAGGTCAAGTAAGCGAAGAAACTTCATACGTTCGAAAATACTTAAAAAATTACTTGTAAGTATTCAAAGATTTACGACCACAAAGAATTTTATTGAAATACCACAAGCACGGTAAAATGTTGAAAATTGAAATATTACGTGTAAGGTAAAAGTATACTAACGGTCGTGGTATATAACTAGAATATAACGATATGATAAATGATGGATTTAGAATGCGATAGTGTGAAAAAATTTGCATAATTTTTCGCTAAACAAAGAATCGCGCGCGTCAAATAATAAGTGTAAAATTTTCCACAGTGGTAGAAACACTTCGCGCGAAAAAAAAGAACATATTATATTTTCATTACAAGAAGTGTTTGACGCGAGTGTATAAAAGAAACGATATACATCTGTTAGTATAATAATGCGCGACTGAATTGCAAGCTGCGATAGCAATTTTTTGCTAACGCTAATTGCTGATAAACTGCGTATGTCACACAAATGTTGACTTGTAAGAGCGAATCCTGCACTACCGAGCATTGCTCATTAATCAACGTTTAAAGTAAGCATATATGAGATGATGATTTTACCTAAGATAAAGCAGGAACTGGTCGCCGTGCACATGCAGGATACCGCGAGCAACAGCGCCCGATCCCAGGCCCAGGCTCCGTTCTCATTGAGAGTGCCCACTCCCATGCCGAACAGCGACAGACACATGGCTGCGACGATCGCCTGAATTTGTACCAAAGCGATGTTTCCGATGATCATCTTGGCGATCTCCCGCCGGCTCGTCATGTTGCCTAAATTCGCTTGTGTGCACAAACGCGACGCCAGGCACATGTCAAGATTACCTTTCAGACCTTGCAACGCTGTCGTCAGGATCATTAATTGAGGAACCTCTTTGAAAGCGGGCAGATCCTGCAATCGAATCAAATTTGGAATTTTTAAAGAAAGAAGAGAAATTTTTATCTAATTCAAATTTGTATGCGTGCAATATTTTATTTTTTTATTTCACGATAAAAGAAAAAAAACCGAACGTATTGAACGCAGATACGATGACATTTGAAATGTGACATGTAATTTGACCTAAAAAAAAAAAAACAATGCGTGGATTCGATTCATCACGAACTTGCGATAAGAAACTGCGAACGCTCGATTATTCCGCTCTCGTTTAAGAAGCGCGGGTTCTTTTATCTTTGAAAAAAAAAACCACTTATACGTCAATCGAAAATATTTTCTGAAATTCGGATTACTTAAGTGTGCAAGCGATGTCGTTTAAGACTCTTATGTAATCTATATCGATGTCGCATTAAGAGTGACACCATATCCTACTTTGCGCGATCGATAAAATATATCCGACCCGATAAAGAAAAGATCAACTTCAATCGTCTTTGATTACAATCGATCGTCTCTCTCATTTATTATTCTCGAACGAACACTTTCTCGATAAAACATTCATTTCACAAGATTAATACCTATAAAAAAAAAAAAAGAAACGATTCACGTATGAATCTTTCCCGCGCGCGCGCTGTCGTATCTTCTTCAATAATCTTCCTACCTTTGCGGAAGTGAGAACACGACCGGCACCGATAGTACCCATGCCGGCAATGAAGAAAGGCACCGACACCTGTAGAATCGTGTGGTACCATTTTTCGTTCCTGATGTTCTTTTCGTTTCCAGATCCACCTAAATCGTTGTGGTGATAATTCGGATCGGGATCTGTGATGGCAATGGACGCAATCGTTGCCAAGGAACTTCCGCTGGAGAGAGAACCGTTTCCACCATCGCCGCCGGTCATGCTTTTGTCCTTCTTGGTCTGATTGTTGGAATGCATCAGACCAGCTGCCGATCAGGACATATGTCAAATTATAATGTGAGTGCGCGCGATCACAAACAACACAACAATATGTAATTACAATTTGCTAAACATAAATATTTTCAATAACATCATCACGTAATCTATTATTGTGTGTGTGATCTATTGGAGAGATGAGAATAATTAACTTTGATTAAACACGATGAATCACAGTGACTTCCAGAGAGATATACATATAAAAAAAACAATTCGTGTTATTTATGTTTGAAAATAAAAAAAGAACTTATATACATGGAAAACACCCAACGTACACTTTGCGTGAAATTATTATTTTATATCATTCAGTATCAAATAATAATGTTATCCAATATATCACGTAATAATAATTTTTTCTGTATACTCCTTTTTAATAATTCGACGTAATTTATTTTATACACGATTTACCCGAGATTTCAGGAAAGTAGAATGTTCACTGACATCAGGCGATCAATTTCCATCTAGCCTCTTGACATTCATTCATCACGTTATCGAGTCTTGTCTTGGGTAAACACAGGCTTGTATTTCGCGCGCGCGAAAGAGAGAGAGAGAGAGAGAGAGAGATATGTACTACTTGGACAATATGTATAACGCAATAAACGACGCGGAAACAACGCACCGAACGTACTGTGAACGTCTTCGCGTGATCTTCGTGTACTGACGCGAAGTACTGACACGATATTCTGAATTCCGACGATCGTGGAACCATCAGAAGTGGGTAGAATAATCGAAGAGTCACCTAGTGTCGTCATTATAATCACTATTGTGTGAACACACGCCGTGCGACCTTTCCCCACTATGCAAACCGCGACGGGTAATTAGTTTAGCTTCCTCGCTTCTTCAATTTACAGAGGTGCAGAAAATTTCGTTTCTCGTCAAAAACTAAAACTCGCGTCTCGCGACGAACGCAACACGTGACGAAGAGTTATTGGAATTTGCAAAACACTGAACTTTATAAATATTTTTGTCGAACGTATTCTGCATACACAGTATATTTGTGCTAACCGCATGCAGAAGTGTGATAAATTAATTCATGCGTTCTCATGAAATTTTCACGAGGCTACAAACTTTTTCATTCACACGTGACGACTTTGTGCAGCACTTTGCGTAGCTACAATTCAAAGGAGCGTGCTCCGTTGCGTTTTTGATGGACTAAAATAAAATTTCGGGTTCGGAAACGGCTCTTTGAACCGGGATACTGTGAAATTTCCGCTCCTTCATTTCTTGCTCTGGCAACAATCCAGCGCGTTGAAACATGTCACGAGATTAGTTTTTTTCCGCGATCACGTGTGCGATCATATGGCGAGTGTACGGTAGCGAAGATGTGGTAGCGTGAGAGAAAATAGTAAATTTTAAGAATCTCTTTCGTTTTCATCGACTATACCCTTAGCGGAGTTCGCTCTGAGTGAAATTGACTGTACTTTTGCCATTTCTTTGGCTACATTTATCACAAACTAACTGCGATAGCACAATGTAGTTTTTATCGCTTTTCGTCATTAACGTAATGTTATGTTAACCGTTAGACGGATAAGAGAAAACAAAGAGAATATACAAGAGAATATACACGAAACGAAGAATAAAATACTAATGAAGGAAGTCGACAAACCGTATTGTTTTTCTTCGTAAAATATTTTATTTTTTCAGAAAATTATACGTTAAGTCAATTTATTTAACTTTAACTTTTCAGGAATTTTCCCCACAACACGAGTGATTAATTGTCGACTTATTAGTCGACCTTTTTCAGTCAACTTATAGTCGACTATTTGCCAACAATTAGATGGCTTTGAAAGGTCAATTAAATATAATTATTGTCGACTTAAACATAATTGCATTTAATCAGCGAGGTGATAAAGGCTCCAAATATCTAAGATAAACACAGTAATGTGACAAGACTAATGGGAGCACGAACACTGTTTTGTTTGTGTGTTGAAAATTTATTGAATATATAGAGTGTACACGCGACCATTGGTCTTGTCACATTATTGTGTTTATCTTGGATAATTGTATTTTTTTGTCGCGCTAACGTATATATTTATGCATTTGTGTTTATATCTGACGTCTCCTCTCAGTAAGTCTCAGTAAGTGTCAATTAATCATTGTGATCATTGCGTCGGTTGTTTTTTAAGTATATTTTAGAGAGTATTAAAAATTATATAATAATATACTATTCGTCGACTTAAAGTTAACTTAAAGTCGACTTTTCAACGTTTGATTATAAGTCGACAGCATTGTGTTCACAGTTTTGAGACGCTTACAGCATGCAGCAGCGTGGATGGGATGCGCACAACACCAGCAAGCATTTATTCGCTACTTTGTGCGCATTCCTTCCACCGCTATAGCATGCTGTAAGCGCTTAAGAGGGTACTGGATACCGACTATATAGATACTTGTAAATCAACGTTTTAATATTTGATTTTGTGTCGTATTTACTGCATTAAATCCAAAATGTTTCTCTAAAAATAAGTAAATTGTGCTAAGAAAGTGCGCTTGTTCTTTATAATGTCAAAATTCAGGATAAATTTTTTCTCTCATGCAGTTTTCTTCTATAACCTCATCATATATTCATGTATGTAAAATTATTTCTAAGCTTCTGTACGTATTTACAGTGAATTAGCGCACTAAGTACGACAAAAAGAACATAATGAGACACTCAGATTATAATTTTACTACTTAATTAATGAGAGAAATAAAAATATTGTGATGAAAAAATAGTCTATCATATGCATTGTGAATAAAAAAAAAAAAAAAATTCAAAAGAGCATTATATCTCATTGTCAAAAGTACTATATAGTTTTTTATATTTATGTCCTTCTGTAGAAGCATTTTTCATGTGAGATGCATAACTTAAGTTACTATAAATAATACTCAGCTATTTGATAGTTTACATTCCACTTTTTTTAACTTATTGGGCACTGATGTCTGTAAGATATTTTGTAGTCATGCAGTGTGCCATACGTTAACAAAAAGGTAGAACGTTACCTATCTAGACAATAAATATTTGATTGGTTGGACTAGTAATACTCGAGTTATAGTTAACTTTTAGTCGACGTGTCTTACGGCCGATTTCTTCATACCTCTCGATAGCTATCCTCTAGATAAATTCATCTGAGAACCAATAAGGAGAACCAATTTTGGGAGATATCTTCTAGATAAAGTTATCGAAAAAACTTATCTAGAAGTGAAAAAATTGGCTGCTAGTCAACTTTAACAGTTCTCTTTACAGCCAATTTTTTCACTTCTAGATAAGTTTTCGATAACTTTATCTGGAAGATATCTCCCAAAATTGGTTCTCCTTATTGGTTCTCAGAGGAATTTATCCAGAGGATAGCTATCGAGAGGTATGAAGAAATCGGCCGTAAGTCAACTTAAAGTCGACTAATAGTCAACTCGAATAATCGACTGACAGTCGACTATTTTTGGGACATTCGTCATCTTTTAGTCGACTCTAAGTCAACATTCAGCCTGACTTAAAAGTCGACTCTTGACTTCTCCAGTCAACTTATAGTCAACTTTTAGTTGACTTCGTGTTGTTTGGGTTGTTTATTTGTGTTTTGAGACCTTATGTCTTCGGTTCGTTTGGTTTTAAGACTTTATGTCTTTACGTGTTTATTTGCGTTTTGAGACTTACTCACGTATCTATCGCCGTTTATTAGTCACTCGAGCGTCAAGAAATTTCAAGTACACTTGATCAAAGATTGCGACGAAGTTTTAATTTTATTCAAACAAGTTCAAATTCCAATATACACGTCGTGAACAAAAATTCAATCTTTATTCACGGTGTAATCAGCAAAACCGATCGATACTATTATTGACACGAGATTCACTCGAATATTTTTACACATTTACTATGTAAATTATTCAACAGCTCATATGTCAATGATATATGACTCTCTGTATTGGTGTAACTGCAGTCGTGTGTGATAATCGGTGTATGAGATCACTCGATCTCCCTACATATCTACGTCGCGTTCCGCGAGTTTTCTTACCGGCGACTTTTTTCACGACAACAGGTTCTGCATTGATATTGTCCGCGTTCACCTTCTTGTCATCGAGCACGTCGAATTTCAGCGTGTAACTGTTGTTGTTGTTGCTATTGCTACCAGGCCTCACAAGACGAGGTAGAGCAAAAGCCTGATCTCTAATCCTTGCGGTGTCGTCCGTCAGATTTTCATTGTTGGTTGCGTTGCTGCTGTACGGCGTAATATCAGTGCCGTTCAGCAACATCGGCTCAGTCTTCGAGTCCGGCAAACCGACCATATCTGCAATGCAATCGCATAAAAGTTTCGTGTACAAGCAGCTAGCAGTGATAACTGGATTTTTGTTTGTAACTCTGGTATTTGTTTGTTTTTACTGTCGTATTTTCATTTATCTTCCACAAATGAGCAACGCTCAGTGTGATCGAAAAACATGAAAATTAATTCGCGAAAATTATTAATATATAATTCTTTATTGCACAAGTGTATGTTATTGAGATTGTAATTGCAAAAGCGAATCAAAATGATCTGATTTTAAATTATAAAATTTGAACGAACGTTCTTCTCGTTAAAATCTCTAAGATATTTATTTATTTATTTGTTTTTACTGAAACACTTATACGTACCGAATTCGCTGATGTACGATGTTGCAATGTTTCGCTTGACAGACCTTAGGATCGACCTGCGACAGTCTTACGTCGGATCGACCTGTTTCCGCAATCTTTGATCTACTGAAATTGAAAAAAAAAGAAAATATTTCTATTTTAATAATCTTCATGAATTTTTATGTTTCAAACTTGTCCAGCACGCAGCGGAATGTAATATACCGTATAAACCGCAGTTTTTAAAAGCTATTTTTTTTATATGTTACACGATTTCTTCAACATGACATCTTTATCAAAATGTATATTTTAATGTGCAGTGTGAACATTTTTTATCTAGATAACTGATGACAACTAAACTTGTCTAGATAAACGCATTCCTCCTTTCCGCTTTCAGCACTGAAAAAACAAGTTTGTTGAGATAACCACAAGCGGGTAAAGCAAACGAAATAAAGTTTTGAAAACCAATTTTTGAGATTATCAAAATTTGGTAATCTCAACAAAATTGTTTTTTCAGTGAGAGCTCCGGTTCTTCTTAAAGTTAATATCAGTTAAGCACAGACAAGCTTATCTAGTAGAAATTAACTACTTGCACTATCCAAATCCAAAGTCTCATACTTATTATCAGTGAAAATAAGAAAAACAGATAACACACAACAACGAAAATTGGAAGAAATTTAAAGTCTGAAATTTTAAAAATGATTACACATATACGTGTGATATTTGCGCAAAATTCAAAGAGAAGATCGTGTAACATTCTTAACACCGTGTTTTGCAAGCGGAAACTTGAGAACTCCTGTGCTTGGTGTATGAAAATCTTACAAACATATAAGAGATCGATATTTTAATATAAACCTAATCGCTCGCCGGCGCCAGATATAATTCATAAGCAACAATATAAGCACGCTCGTCAGGCGAAAGCGATCGATCGATGCCAAATTGATAGCAGATGGTGATTTAATAATTGTCCTCTCGTTCCTTTGCGTTGCTCGTAGAAATGGTAAATAATAACCGCGGGCTAATCAAGTATATTTCTATCTGTTAAAGTTTTTTTTTAGATATTAAAAAAAATTTTGATTTTACTTTTTTTAACAATTTTATATCTATATTTAACGAATTAATGTATGTGGCACAGATAATAATCATTTTCATTTATCGATCGTTGACACTGGTCTGATTTATAATTTTTTTAGTCGCTTTAATAAAGAAAAGTGATTTTTTTTATAAAGTTTGATGAGTTGAATCTGATCTCAGAATTTCGTTGTCACGTCATTTAAAGTTAATGAAATAAAAAAGATTTCCAAAATAGCCATTTTGACAATAGTTTCTTTTTTTAAATGATAAAAAAATTTTATTGACTGTAGAATGTCGCAAGTTTTCTGCGAACTCTTTGAAACGACCAAGTGCACGTGACCGGATGTCATAATTCTTAGAAAACAACAGTTTTTTAAGGAAAACGTCTCATATACGTAAAAACAATCGTAATTTATTGCTTTTCAAGTTCGAACGTTCTTAACGGTTATACTCTTTTTTATTATCGTTATTTTATTATTTTTTCTTCAAGTTGACATTTTTTTTAAAAGATTAGATTAGGTTCACATTTTTTTAAAATGCTTACGAAATATTTGATTAAATGAGTTTACTTCTGTCATATTTGAAACATTATGTCTGCAATAGATAAACATTAAATGCGTTCAGACGCTTCTATTATTTATCAGAGATTATTTTCATCGGTAGCGATTGATAACGATAATTGCAGCTGGTAGCTAAGTCATCATTAGATGCAGACAGTAGATTTTCTCCTGACGCGTTGTGTAATGCAATATACGAAATCAGCGGGAGTATCATCGGAGCTGATAGAGGTAAGAATAGCCAGAACTCACGTGTGTGTTGTGACTTAAGCCAGTTGCACACGATGCGTTTTTGTCTGCTGGATTGCTTGCATTTGCTGGTGATATCTTATATATTGTCTCGCAAATTATAAATTATGTAAGTTTGCTCGACGTTGATAATCATTCTATTAAATTTCCATAATAGATAGTATTTCTCGCTGATTGCTAGTTCACTAGTAAGAATCAATTGGAACGCACAACCTTAGACCACGTGACAGTCTAAGGCTGCGTCTCGATTGGTTCTTCCAACGAATCAGCGCATGACGACGCAAGAAAAAACGCATCTATTACGGAAATTCCACAGAGAAGAAAATCTGCAATGTTGCCAGTTACAGGAACGAAACAACATTGTATGCCGCCGGCACACTTTTTAGCCACGTGACAGTCTAAGGCTGCGTCTCGATTGGTTCTTCCAACGAATCAGCGTATGACGACGCAAGAAAAAACGCATCTATTACGGAAATTCTACAGAGAAGTCAGCAATGTTGCCAGTTATAGGAACGAAACAACATTGTATGTCGCTGGTACACTTTTTAGCCACGTGAAGAAAAATGGCACGCGTACCTTTTGTTAAAGTAGTCTGTGAAAGTAGTTTGTTAATAATCCACGAAAAAAGCGGAAAAATTCGACTTGTCAGATTGCACAGTCGCAAAAGTAATTTGATATTTCTATTAATTATATATGAGATAGTTTATACACACATGTACGATTGATTTTATATATTTCCTAAAATGTGTATATCGAATTATTAAATAATTTTAGTAATAATTAAATAATTTTAGTAATTACTTTCTCATTTGACTTGATTAAATTAATGTAAGTCTGATATATGTTAAATAAAATAATAATATAATTATATACGTACAGTTTCTCTCTTTTAGAATCTGTGCTCGCGATCGTATATCATAAAATAATGATACTAATTCGAATGGAAGTACTAAATGTAATTGTAAATTATTTCGCAAATCGTTAAGTGTCAATATATCATTGTGATACATTATCATATTATCATTTCGTGTGACATATAATCCACGCGAGCCAATTACTCGTATAAAAGACAGATAATACTTCCCACTTTAGACTTTGTTTAAGATAACCTTCGTAAGATGAAAATCACGATATCGCGTGAGATAATCGTGTTTCGTACGCGTACATGTGTGTACGTGTACGTTTATATTTTCACATGTAGACCACATCGTATTATTAATCAAAATTTTCAAATAGTTCGTCTTATCAGTTTATTTCACAGAGTCAGATAGGAACTGTATTAATTACTAATTTAATTGCGTTGTGAATCGCATTAAGAACAAAAAAAAAATACACACTTAGAATAAATTTAAAAAAACATAAAATTAGCTTAATCGTTTAATTGAGACTTTTGCAAAATGACGTTCTCAAGAAAGAATATCAAAATATTGCGAGCGAGACTCTGCATACAAGCACACAAGATAAATTTTGTACGTTTCTCTGGTATGTGAATCGCGTTAAAAGTTTCAACTATAATACACGCTTACTTCGAGTAAATTTATATTATATCTGATAGACGATATTTAACAAGAATGCAACAACAAAACTCTCGATAAACAATAGCTGATAAAGGTAGCAAAAAGAAAAATATTTAGTTATCGCACATTTATACTCACACAGAAAGTTGAATCTGCGCCAGCGTGTTAGACTTCACCGTTAGGGCCTTCGTCTCGGAAGATTTCACTAAGAATAATGACGACAATGTACCAGCAGCTTGAACAGCTTCGATTCTGGTTTTTCTGTTCACGTCTTTCGAAATACTACACACTCCCTTCCACCTGACTTGTTTAGAGCGCCCTCAGAGAAATTTAAAGAAACTTCAGCGTTGTTAAAGCAGCAGACATTATGCCGTGATGAGAAAAGCCGAACAATTGTTCTTCTTTGATTTTCAGAGCGCGCGACAGGGGGGTCCGCGTGGCGCGCACGGTTCGGCTTGACTGATAAAAGGAAGCCACTACTCGATTCTTTACCTTGTCCGGAGCTCGTACATCTACCTCGTTGATGTATGCACGTGCGCTATCTCGCCGGCTCTAGGTGGGAGTCATATTCTTCAGTGGTGAGAATCGCCAAGATCGATCTTCGGCGAGTGTTTGAAAAATTATTCCGACCACCCCCTCTCCTTCCCCATCTTACGGGAGTGGAAGATCGTCGATCAATTGGTTGAGAGTTGGAGCGTCACAGGAAAATACAAAGCTCTTTTACCGCGTGTACAATTGCAGTATTTCTTAGAAAACCGGATTTTTCTTTCACTTTTCTACGAAGAAAAAAAACGCCGACAGAATTGCGTAATGTTTTAAATAGAAATTCACGTAAAACAAAACTCATGTTAATTTAAGAAAAACTTTATCTCTTAAATACGTATGCATTTATATAAATAAGTTACAAAAATAAATTGACTAAACTAAAACTTTTAAGACCACTGATAATCGGCAAAAATAAAATTGCACATTCAATATTGAATTACGTTTTATTTTTCTTCAGCCTGACAAATTTGTTCTAACAATAATTAATAATATCAAGAAGTAAACAAGAAGCAAAACAATTAATAAAGAACTGCAACGAAGTCGTTAGCAATGTTTTTTCGTTTCGCACGAATTGTTTCGCGATTGATGGTTTTTTTTCAGTAAACAGAGACGTGTCTATTTTCGTGGCGAAATCAATATATTTTGTCACGTGTATTGACTTGTAATAAAACTTTTACTTTTTGAATTCGTCTGTTGTGCCAACCGAAAGCACGATCAAGCTTCCACAAATCGGACAATGTTCTGACGCATACAATTCAACATCGACGACCAAATATGCATTTCACTATCAGAATAACAAATTGTGTTGGCACTCCTGTATTGAAATTTTGTTCAGAGCCGAAGCTCTGTTGAACAAACTGTTTTAAAATGCATAACGCACAAGATATAAGAGATACGACCAATCAAAGCTTTCTGGAACGAGAAGTAGGAATGGAAATAAAAGGCTTGAATTGGTTGATTTTCTTATTGATTATGCAACAGAGTCTCTGACCCTTACTCAGTCGGATCCAGCATTCTTTCTTGACGTTTAAAAACTGACACAATACTTTCAGAAAATATTTACAGATGTCTTTCAAAAAAACGTTCTTATTTATATCCGTAATTCATATGTCATTACATTTGATTTATTGAACATTTGTTTTGATGGCGTCGCACAAGTTCAAAGTAAGTCTTGTTACTTGACATCTACAATTAATACTTTAAGTGCATTTAATGATCTTATGATAAATTTGTTTTTATAGTTACATTGTTTATAGATATTTCTTTCATGAAATATATAGCAAATAAGAGATCTGTAAAAGAATATCGATTTTTATTAAGTGTTCATGCATTGATGAAGATAAAAAATAGAGAAGAAAAGAAAAAATGAAAGAGGAAAAAGAAAAAGAAAGTTCTGAACAGAAAGAGTTAAAAAAAATAAAGACAAAGAATGCAAAAAAAAAAAAAAAAAAAAATAATAAAGCGATTCAAAAAGTAAAATTATGTGAAAGGAAATGATCTAAATGTAAAGAACTTTTTCAAGATCCTCCAAAAGAAGATCGGATTCAGTGCTCGTCGTGCTCTTTACGGTGGCATGAGAACTGTACAGATTAAATAGAAATGTGGAAAGTTTATTTTGTAACAAATGTTAGTAATTCGTTATATTTGAGTTATAATTTTGTTATTATTTTAATTGTTTTTTGATACGACCATACTCTATTAATTTGTTTACGTATAAATATAATGTTTGTATAAATGCTTTTTTGTACTTTAATATATATATAAGTATATAGTATAATATATCTACAAATACTTATATTTTTTCATATATAATATTTTTATATATAATATTTTCTATTTAATATTATTCTATATACTCTTTTCTAAATAAAAACTTACAGTTACACGCATTCAGAATTTCTTTTTCCCACTGTGTGCAACAATTGCTCTAATTAATCGAGAAAAATAAATAAGTGCATTGAAAATCACATTTACTTGAACAATATTATTCCGTTTATTTACCGGAATATTTCTGTAAATTCATTAGAAATTCATGTTCATTCATTGGTCATTTGGTGGCCACTTTTTATTTATAATCTTATTAGACTTTTAAAAACACTATAAATATTAAATATTGCTAGACTTGCGTTCTGAAATGTCTGATTTTAATAATGGAACAACACGTTCACTGTAATAGCACTCGGTGCATTAAATAACGATTTTTAAAAACTAATTTTAACAGACATGTAGCTCAAGTGTTCATTCACTGGACAGATCATCCTACTTGGTAAATTAAAAAGTGATTAATGACAACGAGCTGAAGTAAGTGCGTGAATGAAGTGTGCGCGCGTGAATCTTGATTGCTCCGGCATGCGGAGGACAGTAATATTATTAGAATTTATAGTACGACGTAAGCCGATTGTAAGATTCTTGCGTCATCGAATCGTTAATTAGATTTTTAGGATATAGGCTTCGCTTCGATCGTCAGTGAGAGCGCCTTGAAAAGTGAGTCATGTGTCAATTTGTGCGCGCGTTACTTCGTAACGTACGCGCGCACACTTTATGCTAACTTTAACCCGCTCGTTAATCTAACGAATATACGCGTCGTCCTTCCGCGTGCGTGTCCCATGAATATTATATCTCCCACGACGGTCGACCGCACGATTGACATTCCGCGCACGCAAACGTGACCTTACAATGGCCGGGATTTACATTTCAGCCCGAAACGGGGAAACACCGCCGATTTGTCACAAATTGTTTCCGTAATTAGACGCATGCGCGCGCATTGTCATTATTTGGCAATGAACACAACTGTTTTGGCCCAAGAGGTCACCGAAGACGACACGATTACATCTGCGCCACCTGAGAGTCAACGCAGTTTTTTTGTCTTCTGATGATTTTATTAAGTGTAATTTAGATAATTATTAAGTAATTTAAGTAATTATCATACTTTTATATCGCGTGATGTGATGGTAAGCAATTGTAAATTATTTTTTGAATTATGCTGCTTTTCTTCAAAGTGAAAGAGAAGTGTTTCGTATCATGAACGTTTAGAGGTAGACGTGTGAGAATTTTGCTCGTAAAACACATCTACTGAAAATTCGAGATAAAATAAAGATCTCTCGCTGAGTGATTATCATATTCTTCAAGAACGTGAGCAGTGAGCCGTTGTCATCCAAAGAAGAAGAAATTGATGAAATCGAGTGCAAACTCTGATTATCACCGACTGAATCTGATATTACTAGGTATCAGTTGTTACACTCGCGGGGAATATGTATTTCTCACATAAAGAAGCTTATCTACGCGATGTTTGTATCATGTACATGCATGTTACACTGAGCACGTTTATCACTCATCTAAACTTATTTTGTGAGATTGCTGTAACTGATTGTGATACTATTGCAGATATTGCTATTAAAAAAAAAAAAAAAAAAAAAATCTATTAATCGCGATGATAATGAAGTAACATTATTTGATATTATACTGCATCGATTGACTTTTGATTGTTCTGTCTCTTTTATTGTTTATCACTATTTTATTAAATTATGTGGAGTGTGAAGAATGATGTTATTCTGTAAAATTTTTCTCTACAAGGAGAGAAACTTTATATTCTCTCGCTTTAGTTTACCGCATAGAATAAAAATTTTACTCACGTCGAGATTATATACCACCGTCATTTTCGACGTTTTTTCTTTTTTTTTTTTTTTTTTTTTTTTACAAGGAGAGAAACTTTATATTCTCTCGCTTTAGTTTACCGCATAGAATAAAAATTTTACTCACGTCGAGATTATATACCACCGTCATTTTCGACGTTTTTTCTTTTTTTTTTTTTTTTTTTTTTGTACGTAGATTTAACTTGTGATACGTTTTACAATCGTGCTTATCGGAAGGAAATCAGCCCGGATATTTATCGGATTTGCGCTCGTCGAGAATGTGCGCAATAAAGCAATTGTAAAATTTATTTACTCCGTACAGTACTCTCTCTCTCTCTCTCCGAGCTTCGAGAGTAAACAAAAAGTATAATACGCGCGTCTTTCACATTTAGCAGCATAAAGCAGTTTTAAACAATTGCTTATGTGTGACGATAACGAACATGCCTTTATAATTTCACTCGTAAAACAGACTGTTGCAATTATCGTTAAATGTATATCTTTGTATTAATTAAAAAGATAAAGAAATGGAGGTAATAAACTAAAGATAAAAAAACATTTCGTATAAATATTTACGCGCTTATTATTAAACTTCTCTTTACTTACCTTTAGTGAAACTTATTGGTAATTACAAATATATTGAAAAATTGATGTTACTATTTGATCGAGAAGAAAATTTTTTAATCAATCGAAAGTTGTTTTTGAAAATTATTTAAACACTTTACAGAAATTTTACGCTTTCGTATCACATTAGTGTAATAGACGTGTATATTGACGTATCACATTTATGTCAATATAAATTTCTTATTGGAACATGAAATTTTTTGTTTGTCCTTCACGTATTTCACACATCGCGTCTCTGATGATAATTAAATCCGTATTAAGATCGCTTGTCAAATAAATGGTTCTACGTGCGCGATATGCGATTATCATTGTGTACTCTCGGGATATGACGCATGACTTCTCTCTTCACTTGTTTTCTGTTTTTTTTTCTTTTTTTTTTTTAACGAGACAAGTAGCTTTGATTTATCATAATAGACATGGAAAAAACTAACGCAACGCAGAACGTTTCTTTCCGGGAATAACCGGCGTAAGTCGTCGAGCACATCTTCCGTGACAAAAGAGATACGACGATGATTAACACACTTGCACCTGTATACTCGTACACTTACTTAGTCATCGCGATCATCAGAGAGGTAAGAGATTACTACAACAATGCTCGCGTCAAACTTTCCGCGTGAAAAAAACACATGTCTACGTTGAAAGATCGCAAGATATGTACTGCGATATTTCTGTAAATTTATCTGTTAAATCAGTTATAGCGTCGATATTTTTATTATTTGTTATATAACGTCAGTGCGTCTGTTTTTTTTTTTTTTTTTTTTTTAATGTAATTT